AAACCAACGGGGAGCGCGTTCCTTTTTGGGAATCTCATGGCGACGGGAAGCAAACCCAAATCAGGGCCCACAGCTTCGCGCCCCCTCGAAGGCCCTCCGCTGGTTGCTGATTGGCTGAAAAGCCCCGACGCTGATTGGCTGAAAAGCCCCGACGTTTGAGGGGGTTCCAAGCTGAACACCTGAAGAAGCCGCGGCTTTGGAAGCCAGGAGGCCGCGCGCGCGCTTGCTTGCTCCATGGGCCTACGGTTTCGCAGCCGCACCGCGATATGCCGGCGCGGCGGCGAAGGCTCTTGCGCTGGCCGTTGTTTGGTTGGAAGGCCCCGACCCTTGTAGGGTTTTCGAGTTGAACACCTGAAAAGTCCGCGGCTTTGGAAGCCAGGAGACCGCGCGCGCGCCTGCTTACTCCATGGCCCTGCGGCTTCGCAGCCGCACCGCGATAAGCCGACGCGGCGACGAAGGCTCTTGCGCTGGTTGCTGGTTGGTTGAAGGGCCCAGGCTTTTGCAGGGCTTTCAAGTTGAACACCTGAAGAAGCCGCGGCCTTGGAAGCCAAGGAGTTCGCGCGCGCGCCTGCTGACTCCGTGGCCCGACGGCTTCGCAGCCACACCGCGGTGAGCTGACGCGGCGGCGAAGGCGCTCGCGCTGGTTGTTGATTGTTTGAAAGGCCCCGGCTTTTGAAGGGTTCCCAAGCTGAGCACTTGAAAAAGCCGCGGCCTTGGAAGCCAGGAGACCGCGCGCGCGCGCCTGCTTGCTTAATGGTCTTGCGGCTTCGCAGCCGCACCGCGATAAGCCGACGCGGCGGCGAAGGCGCTCGCGCTGGTTGTTGCTTGGTTGAAAGGCCCCGACTTTGGGAGGGCTTTCAAGTTGAACACTTGAAAAAGTCGCGGCTTTGAAAGCCTGGAGACCGCGCGCGCGCGCCTGCTTACTCCATCTCGCTCGCGAGACTGGCCGACGCCAGCGGGCATTGCGGCTGCGTCGCCATCGCTCGCGGCGTCTACGCGTGAGCCAACTATCCGCCAGAAAGCCGAGACTTTTTAAACGGGCCCAACGCTAGTACGCCAAAAGCCGCGACTTTGGCCATCATCGCTCGCGAGACTGGCCAACGCGAGCGGGCCTTACGGCTGCGGCGCCTACGCGTGAGCTAACTATCGGCGAAAGCGTCGGGGCTCTTTTAAAAACTCGCGACTTTGGCCGACATCGCTCGCGGCGTCAACGCGTGCGCTGACTATCGGCGAAAAGGCCGAGACGGTTGAAAAAAGCGCCGAACGCTAGAACGCCAAAAGTCGCGGCTTTGGCCGATATCGCTCGCGGCGTCAGCGCGTGAGCTAAGTAGCGGCGAAAACGCCGAGGCCTTCTAAACAGGCCCAACGCTAGAACGCCAAAAGCCGCTGCGCTGACCGGTATCGCCCGCGAGACAGGCCAACGCCAGCAGGCTTCACGGCTGCGCCGCCATCGCTCGCGGCGTCTATGCGTGAGCCAACTGGCCGCCAGGGAGCCGAGGCTTTCTCAGGGGCCCAACGCTAGAACGCCAAAAGGCGCGACTTTGAGCGACACCGCCCGCGGCATCAAGTCGCTCGCGCAACAGGCCAGCGCCGTCTGGAGCCAACAGCTACACCATGGCAGCGCCCCTCTGGAAGTGGGACAACGCTCACCAAAGTCGTGACTCCTTGCGGCCTCACACGGTAAAAGTCGCACAGAGTGGGAAGGTGGCAGAATTCGGTGGAGACATTCACAGCCCCTCTATTGAAAGTCTGACTGTTCGGTCCCGTGCGCCTCTATAGAGGGTCTCCTGGAGCCTGCCCCGCCCACCCACCCAGGCTCGCACCCGCGTGCCCGCCCTCGTCCCCTCCTAGCTAAGGTAGACACCGTGGGCCCCCCAACATTACGCAGAGCCCGGCGCCGTTTCGTTTTCTGTAAAGGTACCCGCTGAGACTGGTGCAGGCTGGCCATTTCTGAAACTGAAACGGCACCAGAATCCAGGGCACACACTCCCAGCCGCTTTCTGCGGTTTTGTTTGTTGCTTTTGGTTGGATTCTAGTGCAGGAGGCAGAAGGGGTCCAGGGTCTCCGCTTCAGGGTCTGGACCTTCTCGGGAGACTTTGGACCAGGGTCCCCCAGGAGAAAGAAACCGGCGGGAGACCTCGGGAGCCACCGGAACTCCGGGCAAGCTTTCCTGCCGGCTGGGTCTAGCGCTGTTTGGCACTCATTCCCAGAGCCAGAGCCCCGGCAGGTCAGCTTGGGAAACCCTGGACCAGAGTCCCCCAAGGGGAACCCGCGGGAGACCTCTGGAACTCCAGGCCAGCTCTCTTGGCCGGCTGCTTCTTGTGCTCTTTGGCACTCATTCCCGGAGCCAGGGCCCTAGCGGATCGGCCCGGGAGACCTTGGACCAGACTCCCCCAGGCGAAACCGATGGGAGACCTCCGAAACTCCGGGGCCACTCTTTTGCTGGCTAATTCTAGTGCCGTTTGGAACCCATTCCCGGCGCCAGAGCCCCAGGCCCAACTCAACCGGGCCAAAGTCGTTCAACCGGGCTCGGCTCAACCAAAGAAACCCACCCCACCGAGCCCAGCTCAGGCGAACCCAGTTCCACCTAACCCGACCCAACGAACCCAACCCCACTCAACAACGCCCGACCCAACTAGCCCCGGCTCAACCTGACCCAACTCCGCCTCGCCTGACTGAACCAAACCGGCCCAAGCTAGCCCACCTCCGCCTAACCCGAACCAGCCTGAACCCTGTCCCGCTCAACCTGACCCCACACAACCTAACCGATCAGCCCAACTCACGCCAGCCTAACCCCATCCCCAGCGCAACCGGATACGGCATGAGCCTAGTCGCGAGATAGAGCCTCGTGGGGTCTCGGAGTTCCGCACTAGGACACGCAAAAAAAAGCCCCGCAATGTTGTAGAGCCTGTGTCGCCGCTCGACCCTACTACCCCCCTTACCGTTACCGAATCACTAGGGAGCCTTTCCCCCCTGTCTGCTCTTCAGATTCCTCTTGTCTGGTCTCGAGACTATTAAAGACGACTCGTGTAAGACTAGGGAAAGCACTGCCGGGGGGAGTTTTCTCGCGAAGACGATGAGCCCACTCGACCCTCCTGCCGTCTCCTCCTTGGGGTGGTTCCTGGAATTGCGTAGACCCCTCCACCCGGCACAGCCTCCTCGCGCGAGGTGGCATTTTGGACGAAAAAACCAAAGGCGAAGTCCGTCCATTTTTGCCAAAAAAAGCCATGCCGCGCGGGAAGGCGATACGCAGTAGAGGGATCGGCCTAATTTCATGAGTGATTCCAAGAAGAACTCAAGGAGCCTGCGCCCATTTGCTCCCGAATAATCCAACGCCAAGCGAAGGGGACCACCCACCGCCACGGCAACGCGCCCGCCCGCTTTCCCGTCGGTTCTGTGCAAGGACATCGATGAGGGCGAGCACGCTGCCGCGCCAGCTGGTGCGCTGCCTGTAGCCCTCGCCAACTCCCCGCGCCCCTCAAGGAGCCCCAGACGCGTTTGCCGCTCGTACGTATTTGTGTACATTTGTGAAAGCTGTACGGAGTGGCAAGCCGAGGCCTCGCGTCTTGTGTGAGCAGAGGGCACAAGAACTATGGAGGACTGAGCTGGAAAAACGCGAGAGCTTATGCGGGAGTGAAGAGCGAAAGTGAGGGAAAAGAGAGAGTGAGAGGACCTGAGGCCAGAACTGAGACTGAGAACTCTTGTGAGTTATGCCTGAGAAGGTTTTGTTCACGAGTCGTGGCCATAAGTTGTACGCGTTGACTCTTATAGCCTTACCTAAGAAGTATTGTCTGGCGAAGTACCTTTTGATATCGTCATGAAGAAGTTGTGCCTAGAATTCATTCCTATCGTCCTAGAGAACAATATCCTTGCATTCGAATTTTTCTAGGTTAAGGTTTTTGATTGCTGCGGACTGGGATAGTGGAGTAGCAAAACAATCGATCCTGACATGTCTCACTTAGTGTGCAGCAGATACTTCTCAACTTGATGAATCAGGAAAAAAATCAAGATCAACTGCATGATGCACTCCTTGGTATTTGTTTTTCGTAGATGAGCACTCAGGAAGCATAATTTCTCAGCCAAGCTTGCCAGTTCTTGTACCAGTTACTTCGCTCTTCCTTCCTTCTAGTGTAAGATCTTGATCTTCCGTTGTTGTGAAGGGAACTGTGTGAACTTCTCGTCTGTAAAAAAAAACTATCGTCGCGATGCATGAGGCCACGAGTGCTGCTGCCACTCGCAAGTCGTGACGAGAGGGTTCTGTACCTCTAGTACGAATGCCTGTAATTATTACGCAGCAGGGATGAAATACGGCACCAGATCATTTCTATGCGCACGAAGGCTTTTGTGAAATGCGACAGGGTTGCAGTAAGGAGACAATGGCACAGTAGCGAAACAAAGGCGCAGTAGGGAGACAAGGGTGCAATAAAAAAATGTGGTGGAGTAGCCGTAGTCCTTCTCCTCGCTCTACTCCTTGTCCTCTGGCGTCCCACGTTCTACTCCTCGTCCAGCTTCTGTCTTTAAGGCTTTGATATCCTCTTCTAGTATTCTTTCATCTCCCATAGCGTTGGTCACGATCCGGATCAAAAAACAGCTTCACGAGCCACAGATCATCACGAACACATAAGAAAAGTAACAGTTCTTGTCTTACTTAGAGGTTACTCTACTGTTAGATAATACATTTAAGTAAACCTCTAGAGATCTGGCCCTTTCAACAATACATAAGTAAACATCATGAGCTTACTCCCGTCCTGGAGAAGAGGCCTTTCGGTGACATGTAGGCCTACGAGCAGCTTACTATCGTCCTGGAAATATAGACGCTTTTGTTCCTCAATCGGTTCCACGCGACTACTAGTATAAGATATGGCCGCGGGGTCTTCTGAGAACAGCGGATATCCTCATAGTACGGATTAGATATGGTGAACAACTTATCATCTAATATTTGCCATAGGCGTAGATAAAGTCGTTGTTTGTCGGCGCGAGGTCCGCACAGATGGACGAGCGCACGATTCTAGAGAAGAACCGCACCAGGGCCATAGCCAAGGAGGTGAGGGCCATAGCCAACGAGACCAGGAGACTCAGCATAGCGAAAAAGGCGATCATGGTACTAGAGTAGCTGGAAGTCACGTCGTATATGGAACAGCAGCAGATATTGTGGTTGAAAACACTGTTGGAGGACGAGACAGTGCTGTAGAGGACATCAGGGAAAATGAGACTCTGTTTCTAAGGCACAATTCTCCTAGCTTTTCTGTTTTCCCTAGTTAGCTCTGCTCCACCGCAAACTAACTAGGTATTCGTATTCTCCAAGACAAGGACAACTATTCGTCCTATCTAGAGTGGCTTCTTCCTTTACATAAGGTTGAGGTTTAGGCCCAGCGGCGCTCAAAGCACTAAATAACGCAGCCGGTTAGTTTTTACCTCTAGCGTTTAGCCCTTCCAACAAAATAAATATTACTATTTAATCGTAAATTTCGCGGACGAAATAGTTGTAATGTCTCGAAACGAGGACGGAGTAGTTGTAATACTGATTCCGAAACTACTAGCACTTGTAAAACGAATCTCCAAAAGAATTAGGAATTTTGTTTTACGTTACAGATGGAGTTGTAGAAGTCAATTGCAAAAAAAATAAGAATTTTGTTTTACATTACCGATGGAGTTCGTTGTAGATAGAGGAAGCTAAGTTCTGAAAGTGCATAATGACCTTGAGGTCCCGCGCTAAACGAGTTGACATATTCAAAAAACGCCACGCGAAATGCAAACAGAAAGTTCTTAGATGCTTGAAAAAATGAGACAGCCCCCCTAAGTATTCTGCACTCGTCCCCCTATCCCCACTGAACGGTAGCCCCTTTACCTCATGAATTGGTAAGTCAGTCAATCAATCAAATTATTCGAAAACTCAAAATAACCGAGTTACTGACTGAAATAAGGGAGGTAGCTTAGCGTCAAGGCTACCTTTCCTTCTCATCAGTATCTCGGTTATTCTGATCAGTTACTCGCCTATTTCAGTTTTTCGAGTACGTTACAGATGGAGTTGCAGGAATCTAAATTCTGAAAGTGCATATGTCCTGCTCTAACCTAAGTGCAGCAGGGCGATGAAGATGGCGTTAGAGGTGACGTTAGGCAACATCACAACAGTGGCGAAGAAGCCGTTACTCACCATCCCAACACAGTTGCGGGTGATGGGACCAGTCAACATAGCACCAGTGAGCAGCAGCACAGTGGTCAAGTGGGTCAAGTCAGGAGCAGTAAAGAAACCAGCCGTAGCACCAGTAAAGCACATAGCACCTCCAGTGAAGCAACCAGGGAACATGGTCACCATAGACGGCTCAAAAAACGGCGGGAGGCGAATGCTTTTGCTGTTGCGGACCAAGAAGAGGCTGATTTGCGGGACCACAACGCGCCTTTTTTACTAGAAAAGTCGCAATCTAGAAGAGGAGGCTCCCGGAGTACTAGGTCATCCTCGACGGAGGAGGATCCCGTACTAGTTTCGGAGAGCGGTTCCGCTGCACTCACCATTTAAGGTTTGATATACGTACCTACGACACGCTTGCTCTTCGCAAACAGTCGAGGCAGCATCTATGCGCGCCTATGCAACTACACTCATTTCAAGGACAAGGGTTGTGAGTAGTTTATCCTAGTTGCAAAACAACTGTAGATACTTTTTCTCGTGGCTACTGTTCCATGTCGAACCTTCTGCCCGCATACTGTCCATGCTTCCTGCATCTCCCTGTGGAATCTTCTTCATGGCACGTTTGGCGTCAACTCGACCTCGTTTTTGCAAGAGGGACAAGATAGATTATGCCTTCAATCTTTCTGGAGTTTGTATTCTTGGTATCCTGGTGGTAAAGGCAATGGTTCACTTGGTACCTCGAGTTTTTCTAGGCACACGGTGTAATGGTATCCTTCTGGAGTAACCCAGAAGTTTTCCAATTTATCTATATCAGTTACTCTATCGTTCGTTGATGTTCTCGTCCTGGTTGATCTAATGTCAGATTTGAGGCACTCTTGACTGTTTCTCTGATTTAAAAATCCTAATTAATAGTAATTTCTGTGTCTTTTTTTATTTCCTCTTCTACATCGAAGATCAGGGACCACGACTGGACAACTTTCTCTCTCTCTATGATAGTGATCGTAATATGTCTTCTTCTTTCGACGGGACAAACGCTGCATTTCTTCCGCAAGACGCGTCGTGACCTCCTCCCGCTCTAATTAAGGCAAGTGATGATCATCTGCTGCAGGTAGTCGATGACCACATATATCTATTAATACTTCTATGGTTAGCAAGATTGTGCACAACTCAACACTATATAAGTCGTGCCTGCATGAGTCGTGTTGAGTACTTCTATTAGATAAGTCGTGCCTGCATGAGTCGTGTTGAGTACTTCTATAGCTGGTGTGTATCTGCTAGTAGACAAGTTTTCTTTGATTGATTTTCGTTTTCTTTTTCTCCACTGGAATTATAAGTGTTGAGTACATGCTTATTTAAATAGACGATGCTAGATAAGAGTAAGCCCCTTCTTCTATACCCCATGAATGGGTATACTACTCCTCCTACTACCACAATAAGTAACTAACTGACTAGATAATGATAGATACTAGTAATGCGCTCACGTCGATACAACTAGTGCCCACTTTTACAAGGGGGAACGAACGTATATAGTATCACCATACATACTAGTAAAGCAGCCCACGCTTCTAGTCTGAGTATAGAGCGGCTCTCTCATCTGAGTTTACAGCTCTAATCTGAATATAGAAGGCAGTGACGGGAAGGCCCTCGAGGACAGGCGAACCAAGGTCCACTTAAGGCTAGTAGGGTCAACCCATCTCTCACGACCGCATCTTTTAACCAGGTGAGAATCTAAGTATACGGAGAATAGGTGTCTACTCCACACCGGTACATTGATACAAGTGCACTTGATCAAGGGAAAAACGGGGCCAAGGATGCGCTCAGGGATGCAGGTCAAACTGTGGACGGCGAGTCAAATCCTATCCTATCCTAGTATCTAGATGTGTCTACCAGATCTGAATCTGAATATGGAGAATTGCAGGTGGGCCTACTTTATCTACCAGATGAATATCCTCGTTATCTATATGTGTGCCGAATATCTCTATCTATATGTGTGCTTCCTTTATACGAAGCTTCTCTCCTGGTTTTGATTTTTCTAGTACAGGAGAGTAGATAAGAGGTGGGTTGTCCTTTTCGGATGTCTAATACTTGACTTCGCTTTTGCGTTTTGCAGTGGCGCGCTGGACTTGTTAAGGCTCCTATCTACTTAGTACTGGTGAAACCAATTATTGACAACTCGAACTTATAGCGTACCCCAAGATTCATTGGGTACACTACTACTACTGCTGCTGCTACTACCTCAAGACCAGGTAGATGAATGAATGAAAGAAGAGTCACTACTCTCTCGGACAGAGAGTCAGAAAAGCTTCTACGGAGGATGAAAATCTCTCTCAGATGGAGAGTCAGAACATGGCTGAGGCGGGAACTCCTCTATATCTAAATCTAACAAGTCTAGAGGATGAAAACCTTCCGTGAGTGCTTCTATGATCATCATCAAGATCGAAGACTTCCCGCTATAGGGTGAAAGAACGGTAGTCGTCGCAATAAATGCGAGAGCTTGCTATCGCTATTACTGCAGCGTGCGAATTCATTCATTCACTCACTCATTCATTGCTATTACTATTACTATTACTATTACTACTACTATTACTAGCAACGTAAGAAGGAAGAAGGAGTGGTAAAAAGTAGAACTGGCAACCACGGAATAAGGCCGTGAAAGGACCAGCGAGATGATCAGGAAAAACCAAAAAGCTCGCGCATTCTCCCGTGAGCGCTTGTTCTTACTTGCTCGTAGATGTTGAGCCGACGGACTCCTACTACAGTTCAAAAACCGCAGTTACATCTAACTTTTTTTGACATTCTGCTCGGCGGAGCTCGTACCTCGCGGGTCTGGGACACGAACGGTAAGCCAGAAACTGTCAGGCCTGAGGATACACCTCGCCGGCCCATAGAGGAGAAGCTATGACTTCATCACTTGGGTAGTGTAACTTGGTCTATGATGTATGACGTCACTTGGGTACTGTAACTACTAGAACGACTCGTTGCTTTCAAGGGGTCATCCTGTGACCTTCGAGTGGAGCTGCGACTCGTGGCATCTTTCTGAGATATACCTTTCACCAAATGTGAGGGGAGCATCTATGGAGGAGGAGCTCTACTCGTCATGAGACAGTAAGCAGGCCTTCTTGTCGGTGTTCCTACAGTGAAGATAGGTGGCTAACTACTACTGCTACTACTATCTCAGTAAGTAAAAGTCGTGGGCGACGCATCTGTGAAGGCGTACTAGCGCTATGAGGCCAGGGATGCCACGACCTAACCTAACTTACCGACACTGCTCTAACAGATGCCGCACTTGACCAAGAAGAAAAATGGCCAGCGAAGTTCCGCAACCTTTTATGGCCCACTACATCTAGATGCGTCCATCATTTTCGTAGGATCCATGTCCTAAAAAAAAAGGAAAAGGGAGAGTGCAGCTAGTGCCCTTTTCTTCATCCGATACAACAAGAATCATACAAGGGAAAACGTAAATATATCCACCGGACGATAGAGTTCCTGTCCTATCGTGGGAGGTGGATCAGTTCCTATCCTAGATGAGGAGATGACCGCGATGAACACAAGCGGACTCTAATGCCGGGCGTCACTCGTTGCATTGGGGTCTTCTACTATCTTATGAAGGGTATTCTACTATCTCGTTGCATTGGGGTCTTCTCCTTCTTAAAACATTTTTCGGACCACGTTACCCCATTAATGGGCTTACTACTATACTACTACTTCTTACTAATGCGACTACTACTAATACTACTACTACTTCTAACCTAAGATGAAAGGGCGTATCTAAGATTCTAAGGTGAGCAAGATCTCATTTACCAGGAGGTAAGTACTTACTCTTTGATTTCTGCCTTGTCACCACGCTCACGCTTGATCACCCGAGAAAGGTGACTGCATCAGTAACTGTTTAGTACATGCGCTTGAACTGAACAACCCCTCCACCTGTTTGCAAATGCATGTGAATGAGCCTCAGGGCAGGAAAATTCATTCACTCACTCGACGAATGCAGCTGCTAGATCGGTAAAACGACCTGAAACTACCTATAGTACCCCACTAGTGGGTACCGACGGTTCTGCCGACGGTTCTTCACAGTTACAAATTTTAGTTAGTTACTAGTCGCTCGTAAACAATCAGGCAACCGATTAGGATTACCAGAACTACAGCAGTGACGCACAACAGAACTTTATATCAGAACTGCACAAGATAGCTTTATAGATACCACTAGAAAAGCGAAGCATCTGTACTACTTAAGTATATATTTATGCTCAGGCCTGTACTAGACATCAAAGAAGTGTTAGTGTAATTTCCATGAAAGAAGTGTTAGTATAATTTACAATCGCAGGAAATGCACGGTAATTAGACTTTGGCATGTTGTTAGAAGATTCCGTAACTCGGTGTCAGCACGGAATGAATCTTCTAACATGCCCAGTGGTACCGGGGACATCTCGCAAGTTGTTGAATTAAGGGCTGGCACCTTAGCTCCACCACGGAGTGACACATTGTACATCTGAGAAGTAGAACTGCAAGAAATAGAAAACGGGTGTACTGTACTTTTACTTATAAGTAGGCCCACAGCACCTAACCTCAGGATGTTGTACATCTGAGAAGTAGAAGTGCAAGAAATGGAATACGGGAGATGTTGTGCATGACTGTACATCCCAAACCCTGAGGAGGGACCTTTTTTCAAGTAGAAAACGGGAGATGGACTATAACCTATTGTATGAGTAGAAGAAGGTTGTAGAACTTGTTCTGGCTTATTTTCCAAGGATAGAGTTCTGGGATGCTTAGTTTTCTTATCTTTTCTTCTCAACTTAAGATGAGGGTCGTGAGTGTTGTAGTATCGTCTTTTCTTCTCAACAAGAAGAGCGTGAGTGTTTGTGTAGTAATGCTGCGGAATTAGAAGTGATTCCGATTTCTAATGCGGACCGATTTCACAGAAGGGCTCTTCCTGCCGAATCCTGAAACGGTGCCGCCAGATTGGAAACGGGATGCTCCCGACGTTAAGGCTACCGTTGAAGCATCCTCAGCGCCGTCCTTGGATAGTAGTAGTAGTAGTAAAGCCAATCGAGGGGTATGTCTTACATTTGATTTGGGAAGGGGTTATTTGTTCATCTGGGAGGAATGAGGATGGAGCATGACATGCTGCACCGCTGAAACTCATCTTGAAACTTCCCCTACACTCTCCCCTCTTCTTGCTCTTGCACTTTGGACGTACCCCTGGATAGGGTTTACTACTACTACTACTACTACTACGCCGTAGTCCTTGGTTCTTCTTTTTCAAGGGAAAAACGGAGCCAAGGATGCGCTCAGGGATGCGAACGCGGTAGCTCTAATGGCGGGAGCTTTGAAAAGGTATGAGTCCACGAACTTCGTTATTGGGAACTACGAAAGTTGACCACTACTACTGCTACTACTACTACTACTACCACCACCTACTTTTTAAGGGAAGTGTTCCGCCAAATTGTAGAAAATATACCTGAATGAAAATATGGGAAACAAAGACTTTCTTTGCCGCTGTAAGAAAGTAACAATTTACAGTAAGGAACGAACAGACCTATGGCGGAGAAGTAGGAATAGACCTAGGGAACGAATGGACCTAAATACGCCTAAGGATGGTTTACTACTTCTATTGCAGGCTTACCCTGTCGTGAAAGTGGTAAGTCAACTCCTATCCTATTCACTCTTAGAAACGTTATCCTGTATCCTAAAAATCCAAAAAAACGCCACTGATTTTGGACTGTTCTCCCAGATCGGGTTTAAGTACTACTACCACTACTATTCGCATACGATCTACTTCGACGTTCCCAATAAGAAGTGGACGCATTCAGAAAATGAGTTTGATATGGATGATCTTTTTTCTCCCATCTTTAACAGACCATGGTCGAGGCTGCCCCTTTTCATCCTCTTCAAAAGTGTTGCATAGGTCAAATTTCCCCTTGAAAGTGTATTTAGTTTAAACGGGAGACCTGCTCGGTGGTCTGCATCTAGAGGGGAGAAAAAGCGGCATCCTTCCTCTCCATATTGCAGAAAGCTGTCGACAAGACGGCAGACAGCTTGATGACCCCGTGGCCGACTCCGCCGTGGGTTAAAGATACTACTTTTAAGAGTGAAATCCAGACTGCTCGTCACTGTACTGCTCGTCACTGTGTACCAGCGTGATTCTCCCTGACTCTACTTCGGTCCCAATGCCAAAGCGACATGAAGAGCACTGAACGCGCAAGAAAGACCTCCAAGATTGAAACGCAGTCCCCCACATCCTCCCCTTTGCAACATCAACGTCACCCGACACACTACGATTACTGCTAGGTAAATGAGTGAAAGTGAATGAGTGAGCCCCTGACTCGACTTCTTTCAATGAGACAGCTGGCTACTATGTATTGAGATGGTAAAAAAGTAGCCATAATTCAAGAATTCAGGAGTCAGGAGCGTTCTGGTCCTCTAAGACACATGGTGGTTCTGAAGAATGATTCAATAGTGTTGTTTGGGCGCTTTCATATGCATGCATACCTCTAAGGCTTTGTCGCTCTGCAAGGCCGCCGCATCCTTGGACTACTACATGTTAAGAAAGAACTTGATTTAAGTATCTAAGGGATGTTAAGAAAGAACGTGTTGACCTGTACAGGATGAGCGCTAAAATAAAGAACAGCATGCATCTAAGAGCACATCTGGGGCTGGCCTATATTTGTGTGCCTATCTGCAACTTGAGCTATCTGAGGGCATATCAATATTCACTGAAGCCTTATAATGACTTTAGCCGAATAGCATCTAAGAGCATAACTGATAGATTTATACCTTAAATATAGGTAAGAAAGAGCCGCGTCATACCATGACTATCTTTCTATTTTTTGTCTAGTCTCGGTGTTGTTTGTATAGTTTTTCTATCCTTATTTGTATATCATGTAATCACAGCAACGACTTGTTGGTGTTGTAGTATTTGTAGATCTCTCTATCAACCCGTGTAGTCATGGAGTGAGAAGTGTCCAAACCTTTGCCCGTATTACCCAGCTCATATCAAGTTCGAGACAGTAGATATTCGAAGTCGTAAAGTAACCGAGTTAGTGACTGAAGTAAAAGAGTCACTACGCTGCTCTTCTTTCGGTATCTCTATTATTCTAAGTAGATACTCGGTTATTTCAGTTGATCGATTACATAGCTCACATCAAGTTCAAGTAGGAAAAAAAAGGACTAGAGGAAGTAGTGCAGCAATTAATTAAACATTACACCTCTCGAATGGGTACACTACTACTACTACTACTACTACTACTACTACTACTACTACTACTACTACTACTACTACTACTACTACTACTACTACTACTACTACTACTACTACTACTACTACTACTACTACTACTACTACTACTACTACTACTACTACTAATACTACTACTACTACTACTACTACATGATAGAACGACTCCTGCGAACTAGATCGGTTGACTTCTTCTTTGACCCCCTGCTAAACATGAATGGTCCACCTGGTGGGCTGGCGAAAAGAGAGGAGCCAGCAACTCAGGGCGCGGCGCAGCTCTTCTATGGATGATGTTTTTTCTCCCCCATCAGATGGTAGGTGCGCTGCGTGCGCGGAACGTGTGATGCGATAGGGTCGTGCGCGAGCATAATAATAATAATAATGATATTAATTTCAAGGGAGATCATCGATGCGGACCCTTTTGGGTCCCTTCTTGGATGTGGACTTATCTAGTTTAAAAGGAGGGGGGGCCTCGGTGGTCTGCCTCCAGAGGGGAGAAGACACCGCATTCATATTTTGTTCCTCCCGCCAAGCCTCGCAGTTTGCTGCGCGGAAGATGTCCGGACTTACGGCCAACAACTACATTTAGAGGCTGTGTAGATCTTTCTCAGACCCATTTCTTCGCCAGCGGTCCCGTACAACAAGAGGGCACAGAGATGAGGGGGCTTCAAAGCGGAGGACAAGACTTTTATAAACCAGCAGAATCACATTTTTACAAGGGTCTTACTTCAGAGAGGTACAGAGTTTAGAGAGCTTCCACCGATCTGGATGGACACAAGCTGGATGGACACAAGCTGGCTCTAACTGAAGAATGGCAAATGTGGCCCGGATTTTCCCAGCGATCAATACTGCGACAGTAAGCCCTGGACTGAAGAAGACGGGGTCTATAAATTAAGAATGGACCGCCTCCACATTGCCTCTCTTGACAACGACCACTCTCGACGAGGACGCTTCCCAATATTGACTAGGAAGTTTCCCAATATTGATTAGGAAGTTTCCCAATAGGAAACTACTCCAAGGGCTCCATAGTCCAGGATTATGGACGTTGCATCCTGGACTAGGAAGTTTCCCAAGTGATTACCTATACCTCATGACTAGGTACATCAATCAATCAATCAATCGAAAAGTCGAGAATGTTCTGGAACCCCTTTGGTCAAAGAGGATAAGGGGACCTCTAATCAAAGTAATGCCGTCGCAGCCGGATGGCAAGACTCTTACCCAAATTGTGTTAAGCGCGAATGGTAGCTGTGAGTATGTACCCTGCGATGTGATACTGTGACAACAACTCATGTGAAGATACTGTGACAACTCGTGTGACTTTTTAGCTTAGAATTCCAGACCTGCCTCTATGGCTTCCTCTATGGGTCGGGAGCTCTTCCTCGCTTGTAGAGCCTCTTAAGTAGCATCCTTTTCGTGTTCCTTTTTTCTTAGGTAGGGCCCTACAGCAAGTATCACAAGGACATAGAGGCTCGGAGACTGTGCGACCCTGTGGGTCCAGCCACTAGTGCTTTAGAGGCTGTGAGACTGTGCGACCCTGTGGGTCCAGCCACTAGTGCTTTATTACCACAGGCTTCCTTTCTGAAGTTTAGACAGATGAGTATCATGTGACAGTGACTTTTTGTTCCTGAGGTACTAAAGCTTTTAGTTAGTTTGTGATAGAAGAACTGATCTCAGGTGCAAGAAGGATCTCAGACCGTCAGGAGATGCTAGCACACGACCGAGACCCGTCTAATCGGCAGCGCGCTGGCCAGAAATGCCATAATTAAGCACGGGCGTGGAAGATACTGATCATAATCGTCGTGGTCGTCTTCGGTCGACTTAGATAAATTCTACTAGAGGTACCTCTGGGCTGCTTCAGGAATTCTTTCGTCTTGGCGATAGTGAAGAGCGACAGCGACTACCTTAGACGCACTGACGATGGTAGCCCCACAGTAGTTGTGAGACATAACTCTCGCAAGTCAAGTTGTAAGACAAAACTCACCCCCCAAGTGGCGGGTCTATTACTACTATTTCTCCTACTTCCACTACTACTAGGCACGTGCATTCCTCACCTACATCCGTGCCCGCCCTCTCTCTTCATCCATCTTCCCCTTTCAGCCTCTCTTCACTGCGTCAACATACTAGCAAATTAGTTCACATCAATGTTAAAGCCGCTTCGTATGCTTCTTGAGAAGTGGCGTCATAGTTTCTAATTTGAAGAAACGCGTTACATGCAGGGCTGATGCGGGAGCCCTTCTACTTATCTAGATTACTTACTCTCTTATTTCAGTCTATCGAGTAAATCTAAATCTATAGTTTCTCTTTATATTCTTCTCTAATACTAATTATAAATATAATTTTGTTTCTTCTAATTTAAAGAACGTGGACGACGAGGCAGGAGCACCAGGAGAGGGAGGAGCACAGGACGAGCGTTCACACTTGCTTCTGAGCAGACCACATATGAGCCACCATCTTATGGTATTCCGTTTCAGGAAAGCATTTATTTGTGGCAGAAGACAGAACTTTTACTCCGAGCGCTCTAATGTTAGTATCCTAGTACTATCTTAGTTATACTATCTAGAATACGACCTACTTCATCCCTATCGTTCCTAATCGTTAGAATACCACTCAGTACAAGTGACTCCTAACTTCTTAGCACATACTTCTACTATCCAAATTTTCATTACTTTGACTGCAGTATGTCCAACCACAGAAGAGAGAGAGTGCCACAAATAAATGCATTCCGTTCCAGGAAACTCTCTCTTCTGTGGTATTATCTCGCTTCCGAATGAATGAGTGAATGGCTTTTCCAGCTTAAAATTTGAGTATTGCCATTCTCTCTCCTTTGTGCTTTATCGTCTGTCCTAGAGCAAAACTAAGTAGATGCGTCAAAACGAAGTAGAATCCGTGTCCGTATCTCCTTAAATCAGTACGAAGTAAAACGCAGTAGAAAGCAAACGAAGTAGAAGCAAAACGAAGTAGAGTTTTAGTGCACTGGCATGAGTGTGTGCATTCGTTCACCCACTCGCCCACTGAGTCACTCACTCACTCTCGGCGTGACACGTAGAACCGGCACGCTGCTAATGCTACTACTACTCCTACTAGCTCATGCAGCGTCAAAAAGCTCTGACTTCTACAGATCGCATGTCCTCAAGTGCAAGGGGAAGAAACAAGAGGCATAATTAAATCGACTTCTTTTACACCTCTAGGCTCGGGACGCGACTACTCCTAGTAGCTGGCCATTTTGAATAAGACTTGGTAGTCCCTCTGTGGCTGCACATATTCCCTCTGTGGCTACACAGGTCAAACTGTGGACGGCGAATCAAGTCGTATCCTATCCTACATGACTTTCACTGGCAGGCTTTTTAAGAGCTGCTTAGAGTGTAATCCACTTCTTAAGTACTAGTGTGATCCGCTTCTTAAGTACGACTAGTCTTAGAGTGTAATCCACTTGTTAAACCCTGTTGCAGCATTTCAAAAAGGTTGAGTTGTAGACTCTGCGAGATCCTTTTTGTAAGTCTTTGGTCCTCTTCCTCGGTCAAAATCATTAAAAGTACTGCTCTGACTGGCCTCGTAGATCCTTTAGCCACTTTTTTTTATTTTACAGATTTATAGATCTAGCAGAAGATTTTTCCTCGTAATAAACCTTAGACTTCTTCTTTTCCCCCTTGATCTCCATACCAGATAGATACTTCCTAACGCGTCTGTCCTCGCGTCACCTAAAAGGTCGCGCTAGGTAAATGAGTAAATGAATTCATAGACCTCCTCCTGCTCGCGAGCCACTGACTGGCCTCATAGACTTCTATCTTAGCCTCAGTCACGACCTAGTACCCTCTCCTAGACTTTCATGTACTTCGCGCATCAGCGAGACTTCTATTACGAGATGAGGGAAGCCAAGCATCTTCTCGTGGTCGATAGCAGCGAACCATGCTCGAAGCTGGGGCTTTTATTATGGCTGCACATCACTCAAGAACCTTGCGTCAGTTTAGTTTAATTAACCTTACCTGTTAGTATTTAGAAGTTTTATTTCAAATTAACTATTAGTTAGTCTGCTGGTGTTAGTCTGCGGCATTTGATCTCTAATATTATTTAGAAATCAAACCTATTAACGCGAGTTTCAGTTAGTTTGCTGCTCGAGTTCTAATATCTTGGCTGTTTAGAAGTACGAAATCAAGTAAGTAAGTATTGATCAAGGTCGAGATGCTCGGACGCCTCCACTATCGGGCACAGAGCTTTGCTCCACATCTAGGATGATGTACAGTTTGAATGTTGTTTCATCAAGTTCGAGAAGTACAAATGATCCTACTATCATGTTTCAAGTTTTTTGTAGAAGAGTAGTCTTTTGTAGAAGAGTAGAAAAAGGAGAGTAGTTGTAGAAGAGTAATTCTAGAAGTAGTCTAAGGTCCAGTACCTGCTTTTAATTCTAAGGCCTACGAGATCGAGATCATCACCCGTGAAGTACTTCACTAGCGTACTCGCTACTACTAATCTTCTCACGTGCCTCTTTATTTGTCAAGTCGTTCCAGAAGTAGTCTAAGGTCCAGTGCCTGCTTTTGCTTATATCAAGTTCTAGATCCAGTAGGTACAGAACGACGACAACCGTAAGTAGATGATACATTTTCGTCGTTATCAAGTAGGCACATAATACATTTTCCTCTCTCATACTCCGAGGACTGCTTAGCCACCGATGTGTCTCAATCCGAAAGGCCTCCCGAACTGAAGGCCTCGATTGAAAAGGAGAAGGCCGAACTGGTATGGTTGCTTAACGCTTTTCTCCCCCATCTTTATAAAGGGAGGCCATCGAGGCTTCTTCTCTTGATGAACTACATACTCAATAATATAGGGTACTCGAAGACTGAAAATATCCGAGTTACTGACTGAAATAAGGGAGGTAGCTGAACAGCAAGGCTACTCTTCATTCTCGTCAGTATCTCGGTTATTCTGCTCAGTTACTTGCTTATTTCAGTTTTTCGAATAAATTTTACTCTGTGCAAGGTCTCCTGTACAGGTGTATCAGCGCAGATATGTGTTTTGAACACTCACTCCGTGGCTTGACTTTTGTCTTTTACCTTAGAAAAGGTATGCTTGTTGTAATCCCATTCGTGCGGGAGGACCTGCTCGATGGTCTGTGTTTAGAGGGGAGAAAAGCGTCGCTTCCCACTGGCGCAGGAGGTTTCGAAACTCTGGGCCCAACTGCGTAACGGCTTCGGGAACGCGCTAGATCCGCGACAGGTGTTTGCTCGTGCTCAACAAATGCCCAAAATTATGAGGAGGCTAGCTATCCTATCAGATTTATTAAGATAATTTATTTTAAGCTAATTATTTTGTTTTTGTTGGACCATTCGAACACAGACTGCTAAGTCGCGCCTAGTTTCTCGGTGAGAAGCGCTTGAGTTTGATACAGATTGCACTATTGCACTCACAGCCTGAGACTAATGGTCTCCGGCTGCTTTGATCCCTGTGGATATTCATTGGGGCTGCAAGGAGGAAGTCCCAGCTTCTTCAGTGGGGTACCGTGATGCGTGGGGAAGCTTTCATATGCTTCATATGGGAACACCTATGCTATCGCCATTGATTCACACGATCGCCCTACATCGATACCCATCATTGATCAGAACTGACAAGACGTTACGAACCTGATTACAGCTATGGACATTCGCTATTTCTACTGTCTGAATCCGTTGAAGGTCCTTTGCCTGTTGATCATTGATTTTGGAACCCTATGCGTTTAGGTCTGTAAGTTATCTTGGAGATCTTTCCGGTGTTGCTTTGTCCTTGACTGTGTTGGGAGGCTTGAGCCACATACGAGAGAGAGAGGAGAAGCCAGAGACGCCCGCGCGACGGTAAACCCGTCGGGCGTTTGGATGGTGCTCCGGTAACCTTTTGCCTGGCGATCTTGGTCATTTCGTTGATCTTCATGCGTCTGATCTTTGTGACATTTCACGACTATGACCTTGGCCAACAGTTTTTCATTGCTGTCTTTTTAGTTGTAGTAGATAAGAATATACTTGATAGATAAACCTTTCCTTTTTCCGGTTTTTGCTTTTTCTAGTTAGTTGCTCCACCACAAGAAAAGAATAATATGTTATTAGGCAGCGAGCCTCTCTTTAGTTGATTCTTTCACTCGTTTCTTTTGTCTAGCTATAGGGCTCTGCCGGAAGTACTATTGAGGCTAGTTTTCCAGCTTATCAATAATCCATCCTCCTTTTCGTCTTTTCCTTTTCGTTTTTTCTACTTGAACTCACTAGAGTTTCTTTCCCAAAGGGAAAAGAGATTAAGAAGCCTCACAACTAAGAAGCGCGTCTCAACATCATAAGTGATTGGCTTGATAAAGTGGGCGAAGAAAATGGGGAACTAAGTGTCGTGTGGACGCAAGGGGGCATCCCACTAAAAACTTGATCAAATATTCAAACTATACATATCAGGCGTGCGGCAGGTCTGTCACTCAACCAGCTTCGTCTTGCGAGTAAGAAGCTTAGGAGGACTACTTGCGACGCGCTGATGATGATAGTTAGTGAAAAACTTAAACTAGCGCTACCATCCTAAACAAGAGTTCGCTACTGTGACAAGATCCCATGCCCGTTGTTCTGTTCGAAACTTACTAGGCAAGAGTTTGCCACTGAGGACGATCCTGGATCAGTGGGCAAGGGTTCGTTACTGTAGAAATAACTAGAGCTTATAAATCTGGATAACTTCTATACCTCACGACTCGGCACACGACTACAACTAACAGTAGGCAAGGCGCCGGTGATGTGCCACAGGATCGATTGGGACTCGTTCGGCGGGAGAAGGAACTACGGACCGAGGCTCAGGAAATGCTCAACGAGCTTTGCGTATGGAGCGAAGATGCACCAGCCCAGGAAGATTAAGATGAATAGGATTTTTTTTGACGTTCTTTTTTGTTGTACCCCTGAATCTGAATCTACCACTGCCTCTACTGCTACTCTCACTATGTGTACTTCTGGATTGGGTGTACTACTAAGCTCTCATTTCCAGCAGTTTACGCGCGGCTACCTACTACTAATCTGCTGTGCAGGGGTCTTTATTAATGTTATCCTCAGTGGCTGTTGGTTCTTGGAAAAAGTCTCCCTTTCATGAAGCATGGTGGAACAAAGCCTACCCAGTCCTAGCGCTATGGTGCCACTCTTTGAGAGCAAAGACAAACATATGGGAATGCCGTTCCACCTAAGTAAGTAGGAGGGCCACCTAAGTAAGATGGAGAACATGTCGTCCCACCTAAGTAAGTGGGAGGGCCACAAAAGTAAGGGGAACAACTTCTGTCGTTATTCCCAGAATTGTAGAGCTTTTTGCCCCTCTTCAAGCATGCGGTAAATTTTTTGTTCGCTTGCTATTCTCATATAGCATTCCAATAGGGGAACAACTATGATATGCGAATAATGTGGACTCAGTCGGTGGCATCTAATTAGAGATGCTACACCCCGCGCATGGGTACATCTGTCAGTCAGTCAATCAAGGAACCAGTCAAGCTGTCTCAATCAGTCAGGGGAACGACAGTCCAAGTCAAAAAAACGACATTCCCATAAATATATCGACAGAAGACGTTTTCTTCTCATGAGAGTGGCACCATTCATTAGAAAATAGGAACAAAAATTTGAAAGAAGGGCGCGGGCATTAAGGCTACCGCTCCTGTAAAGTATCTTGTATAAGAAACCATGACCCTTGACTCTTCTTCTTCTATAGTATTACCAAGAATATATAGAAGAAGAAGAGTCAAGGGTCATGGTTTCTTATAGGCTCCAGCACTCAAAGGATGCCATGACTCTCAAAGTTGTCTACTTTGAAAGTACTTTTAAGTGCTTGGTCTCAATTCAAATCACGACTGTTATTTGACAGTATAAGGAAAGATGCGAATTATGGGCGGTAGCTCTAAGGAGAGAGACTAGTGGTGGATCTGTTTCGTGGCCTCCGCGTCCTACATCAGCTGGCATTGGCATCGCGAAACTGCCAACACCTGTTCACCGCCTTGGGGTTGGGAATACCACGAGAATTAAGGCATTAAAAAGTACCAAAAATAGAGGACTTAAAAGCGGACAACTTGCTAACGCACTTCTTTTCTGCCCCATAATTGGGCACACTACTACTACTACTGCTGCTACTACTACTGCTATCCCCCATGAGTGGGCACGCCAGTCAACTATTCAACCGCTGTAAGCAGGGATGAAGTTAAAAGGTGGAATGAAGCTAAGTGCCGCGACTAAGTAGGAATGAAGTTTTTACAAGGTGGAATGAAACTAAGTGCCACTAAGTTAGTAGGAATGAAACTACCACTTCTATTTAGAAATATTTATGGTCCGAATGTTGAAAGGCTTAACTACCATAAAGTAGGAGTGAAACTACGTCTATTATTGAAAGGTAAACTTTTGAAATATGAAGTACTTACGTTTGAAAGTACTTACTTTTGAAATGAGTACGTTCTTATTCTTACTTTGAAAGTGCTTACTTTTGAAATGAGTACTTTCTTGCTTTTGAAGCGAGTAATGTCTTGCTTTTGAAAGGAGTACTTCCTTACTTTTGAAAAAAGTACTTTTGAATAGTATGCTTGAAATTTCTAGGATCGAGGCAAGCTTGATCAACTGGTAAGTGACGTACTGAGTTGAAACTTGTAGTACTATCCTTCCAGTGCTTCGTTCCTGGGGGGGCAGTAATTTTTGCTCCTCTTTGCATTTGGAGTTTTGACCACCTCAGGGATGTGACTCGTCACGCAGACGTGAACGCGGTGGAACATCTAATAGTAGGAATACTAAGAGTAGTATGTCTGTATGAATAGGAGCGCTATAGTTGCCACTACGTGTTGATAGGTCGAAGATACCCGCGCTCTTGATAAGTCTAATAGTCTTCATAAGTAGATAATCTCTTGAAGCGTGGATAAGCCGAAGATACCCGCTCTCGTCTTGATAAGTCTGTTATTTCTATGTAAAGAATGGAAGCGACCGGTTACCTCTTTCCTGGTAGTAAACCTTAGCCTTCCTTCGTGGTACTATGTAGGATCCTTTCATATTACTACACAACCCCATCTACTAATATTTGTTCCTTCGTATGTAGTAGTCTACAAGAAGTTCATAGTTCTACAAATGATCAGCAGCCTAACTTAGCAACCTCTAATTAAAAGATCTTACACCCCGTGAGTGGGTACATCTATCTATCTATCTATCTATCTAGCTATCTATGTCTGCTAGGAAATCTAGTAGGCGAGCCAGCTCCTATCCTATCCTAGTTTCTAATTCTACTCGCTCATGAAGAAACGCGCCCAGGGCTGGCAGGGCTGATCTTCGTAACCTGGCGCACGCTGAAATTGGACCAAGACGACATGCTACGATACCTGAAAGGTGCGCTTCCGATGATATGCCAAGGGGCTGCTGGCGGGGGCCTAATGGACGCTCCTAGCGAACAGCTCACTTCCTGCATGAAGACACTGTTCTACAGCGTTAAGAAAATAGGGTTGAGATTTGATCACCTTGAATAATAAAATTAGAACCAGAAAAAGGAGAAATTCTGTCTAAGATTTTCTGTCTAAGATTCTGATGAATTAGCTTCTCTGATTTAATGTTGCGTCTGCTTCCAATATTGTCGAAGAAAAATAAACGGAATGGAGCTCCTCTGTCGACGGCAATCTTCTATCCTAAATTTAGGTAATTAGCGCCCTTGTACCAACGTCCTTAGTGACAGATGGTAAGGGCGCCGCGCGCGCGACACACGCGCGGGGCGATAGGGTCACGCGCGAGCATACCAGTAATAATGATAATTGGTTTTTTCCTTTTCTCGCTCTCTTTTTGTCGAAGCCGCTCCAAGCTGTAGATGCAGAAGCAAGAGAAATAAAATGCTTTAACTGCGAAGTAGGTTACTGCCTGAGCACTTATGCTCTTTCCTGCGTAGTGTAACGCTACTTCTACATAGACGCGCAGGGGTATAAAAGAGGTTCCATGACATTGCATGGCGTGACAGCTTAGTGCGTAGCTTCGGCTGTAGTTCGTCGCTGAATCTCTTTCGTCTTGCCGGTAGTTTAGGATGACTACTTGCGACGCAATGGCGACAATGATTAGGGCCTGGCCTCAACGCTTATCGCGGCTTCTCGTCCGGTAATTAAATGCAACCAAAAAAAGACCGAAAAGACCTAAACTCACACATGCGTCTTTCGCGGCCTTCTTTCTTTGGGCTGTATCCCTTCTGCCGATTCGGTGCTCCATGCGCAGGGCTGAGCTTAAAGTCACCACGCACATGGCTTTTGGGACTCAAATGAAGAGAAGCCACGCACATAGATACCCAAGAAGAAAAGCCACGCACATGGGGGGAGCCCATGGCGTACGCACATGGCGTGAACTTGCGGTCTAGTTTTCAAAGCCACGTGCATGAGAGGAACCCATGGTCGAATATTCTCTAATATCTCCGAAAGTAGTGTGGAATGGAATTCGATGGAAGCAGTTCGCGACATCACCCTCAATTTAAGGCACTCCGGACACTCACTACCATAGTTTTTTTACTAGGGTCTAATGCTCATGCTCACGCTCACCAAGTAGTGTCAGTTTGAGTAGGTGCTGCTAATTTTGGTCTTTGTGCGTCGAATTATCCTGCGAACTCGGTACTTAATCGCGGCACTCGGTTTGGCGACTCTCTTGCCGGCAGACCGCCTAACCTTAAGGACGAGGGACCAATGTTGTATGTAAAGAGGCGGCTTCTTTTATTGTGTTTTCAACGTCCCACTCGGGCGGTAGCCACGAACCATAAGAAGGCCTCCTTGGGACTATACGCCGAAGCGGAGCAGTCACCTTGAGTGGCGGCGAAGCAGAGGCGCCCTACCTTATTCTATCCGAAGGAAATTCAAGTCAGGTAAAGAGGGGAGATACAACCGAAAAAGGCACAAAGGAGGACAAAGCAACCTAGTCCTACAACCACCTCTAGGGTAGGCACAATCACCACCATCCCCCTCACCCTCATCACCAGGGAAGAGGAGAAACGCTAGCGGCTGGCGTGGTAGATCAATGATGCAAATGAAGAATATTCTTCAATATCTCTACTTAGTGATTGGTTACTTAGTAGAGCCGCGCGTTTGCAACTCTCTCCACACTTTATTGATAGAAGCACCCTGCCGACAAATATATATGTGCTTGCTCGTGGTCGTGTGACCGAGAAGCAGCTAAGCATATCGTACGTGACTGAGGTTGATGTACGTGACTGAGCAGCGAGTTTTTTAGCTGTAGCTGATGCCTGTGGGGAAAGTGTCTGATTCATTAATGTTGCCATCGGAAACAAAGAACCTACGCTTTTTGCTAGTGTGTGGCACGGTGTGACGAAGTACTAGAAGAAGAGTACAACAGCAACTACTATTGCTTATAATTATCTGAGAAGTGCTAGTATTTCGTTAGTACAAGTAGAGTACAACATTTAGTCCGCTGTGACCATCCCCACGGCGTTCCCTTGATAATTTGAATTTAAATCGAAATCTCTTAGGAGGTGTTCTCGTTCGTCGCTCCATAGTCAGATGTCCAGGAAAAAAAGGACACTCACCACTTTGCGAGGGGAACTAATGTCACAAGGGAGCCGCTGTGGCTCCTCAGTTTTTTTTTCAATCTCGTCTCCGAAGGCCGAGATGGGGCGCCCGAGATGGATTCCGATTCGCGCGCATTCTAATAAGACTTGCCGAAAATACGGGTTATGGCTCTCTGGTTGTTGTAGTTCTACAAGTAGTAGTAACGCCTACTTTCGCATAGTTATCCCTTGCATTCCTTTGGGGGGCGTCAGCGTTTGGTAGTTATATATGTACCAGGGAGGGGGCCCCCCTGTGGATGGAGCGGCGGTGGCGTCCGCGCGCCCTTTTTTCCGCGGTGGTGACATGTAAGGACTGCCGGGGGCGAAGACCCCAAAAGGCGGGGCCGGAGTCCCCTAGCGGCTCTCCGCGTGTACCCAACAGGCGTCCCGACTCTTGGCCCTTGCCAGGGGGACGGCCTGCGGAGGAAACAGGCCGGGCCTCGCGGCGGCCACCTCCCAAAGGGGTCAAGCCTTGCCACTCCGGTCCTCGGAGGCCTTCCAGCTCCCAAAAAGCTCCCGCAGTGAGGAGCCCGCACGCGGGAGGCCGGTAGGGTACATGCAACACGGCAAGGGGGTCCCGCCTTGCCACCTTTGCCAGGTCTGTAGGTGACACGCAACACGGCAAGGGGGCCCAGCCTTGCCGCCTTCCCTAGGTCTGTCGGGTACATGCAACACGGCAAGGCGGTCCGGCCTTGCCACCTTCGCCCGGTCGGTAGGCTACATGCAGCGCGGCAAGGGGGTCCAGCCTTTCCACCTTTGCCACCTTCGGATGGTTTCCGCCCCCGGCCTTCGGTGCTTCAACGGCCTCCGGGATGGTGTCTCTGTAGGGTCCAGGCAAGAAGCGGGAAGGGGTCAGAGCGCTCGGGGACCTTCCTGCCCGGCAGTCCCTCGGGGGAAAGGGTCCGGGGCTGGAGGCCCCCCGCTCAAAAAGTTAGATCGGGGTGGCCTTCAGCCCCGAGCCCTGGAACATATAATAGCGACTGACTTTTAGCACCCCTCCTCCTGGAGACGCATCGATGGTGAAGAGAATACCGCAAGCAGCTTGATTTTGTCGCATTGCGTGCTGCAGCTCTTGAGCAGGTTGCCAGAGTCGTCAATAGGTACATTGCAGTGCTGCCGATCGTCTTCTCAGAAAGAGAGGCCCTTCCCATTTCACTCGCTTTCTAGTTTCTTTGGGTTTCTAAGGTAGTTGAGAAGGGTCTTATAGATATACAACAAACCGAGCACTTCTCTGAGGTATGCACAGGCCTCGGCCGCCTTAGATGAGAAGACCCCCAGGGCAGGCGGACGACATGCGGCGCCTATAATAGCTGGATCTGATTAGATTAACATCGGCGCCATTAGTTTACTTTTTAACCTATAATATAGGTTATTAATGTTGCACCTTTAATTATTGACTTTCTTCTTTTTTGAGGTTGGCTCCAGCACTACTTTACAATACACCTAGTCGCGCCACTATCTGTTTATGCTATGTATCTGTGGTGGTGTCCTTGGGATGCGCGCTCCATAGCTCAGGCGTTTGCCTAGTCCTCTCCTTAGTTAGTCTTTTGCTTAGTCTTCTGCCTAGTCGTTTCCCTAGTCGTTTGATAGTCGTGTGACAGAGATTGCTGCCGTGCTTAGTCGTTTGCTTGGTGTTACTGCCTGGCCGTCGTGCTCTAGGATTCTCGCGGGGTAGGGAGGCGAAAGTAGTAGACCCAGGCCCCAAAATGCCTGGCGGATGGGTGAATGCGCTAAAGTACACACGCCGCGGCGGAGTGCAGGCCAGGCGATTGGGAACACGCTCTCGACCATTTCCTGGAGGATGGGAAGAGTTATGGCGCCTGCTTTAGGCCACTGAGGAGACGCTAGGCTTTATGCCTAGGTAGCAGAAGCTAGTGCGTAGTAGATAGTTGGCATTTTCTTTTGTGGTTGTAGTTGATTCTTTCACCCGTTTCTTTTTTCAGGTTAGGGCGCTTTGGGTTCCTACTACCACTTTGAGACTGTACACACCTACGGGATCTTCTACACATAGCGGATATTTCGCTGACGCTGATTTCATTGTTCGTTAAGTGTTGCTACCACTACAGTCCATGGGTATTAGTAGGCCCTACGGCGCATTTCGGTGCATCGAGTACTTGTTCAATTTGGGGTGGTTCTACGGTGAGGGGATCGCGCCACACTGCATACTTGATGGTCTGTTGGTCGTGCTGCGTCTATCATCATCAAGAAGAAGGCGCTTGCCGTTTTCTCAGGTGCTTCTGTTTAAAGGTAGGCCTTTGGTGCTTCTGTTGCTTTTTGTCTTGATTGTCCTGAGGGCGGAGAGCATAACAAACGGGAAACAGAAACACCAAGACCCTGCGTCTAGCGCTGCTCTTTTTGTTCTTTTTCTGAAAGACAGAGGGCGGCTGTTTTTGGGCGCAGGAGAGTGGCCCTCGCTCTCTACTGTTTTTGAGAAACTTTCTCGAGGGATAAGATAACTACGGCGACCACGGTGGACTTGCTAAGGAAGGGTCTCGTCCTCTTCTCTGTTTTTTAGGTAGGTAGAGGGGCGGGGGCTTCTCGCTCTTTTTTCTCGTCGCTTGTATCTCTTGGGAACTCAAGCCCATTCGCGTCCAGCATCTTGCGCGAGTCCGTCACCCTTTTCCAAAGGGGGTGGCAGATGGCAGTAGAGATTATGGCCGAAGGCGCGACTTGGCTGCGCGACTCTCTTCGGGGCATATCTTGGGGGGGCTGGCTGCGGAGGGTCCCGAAGCTAACCCGGCCCAGCCTAGCACGCTTTGAATCTTTTCCCTTGCCACCCGTGTTTCCTTGCCCCTGGGATTTCCCCGTCTCCGGCGCTTCCTCGCCTTCGGTGTTTCGTTGCCCCTGGGATTCCCCCGTGTCCGGCGCATCCTCGCCTCCGGTGTTCCTTTGACTCCGGGGCTTCCTCGCCCCCGGCGTTTCCTGCGCGCCGGTGGCGTTTCTTTGGCGCCGGGGTTCCCTATAGCATCAGGCAGGTTCCGTTGCTCCTTACACCGATACCAAAAGAGAGCGCTTCCTACTTCTCTCGCTTTACTCCTCTCAGCTTGTTTTTTAGACAGGTCCGCTTACTGGTGCTACCAGTCTTTTTCTCTAAGGCAGTTGGGAGAAGCAGCAAGCAGAAATTGCTGGCGTGGGACAGACTTTCGATGAGGCGCGCACCCGGCACTTTGCTGCGCAGGGCATGCTGAAGCTTTATGAACCCTGCCGGATGGGTGAGTGAATAAGTGGCGCACTGAATAATCACCAGGGGCGTCTTGGCTGGTTGATAGAGTGGGCATGATGGTGATGGGGTATCGAGATGCGGGCCTCGTCACGTTCTGAGGAATCGCAAAGACCTAAGACACCACTGCCAGGGGGGCCCTGTCCATCCGCAGAATGTTTATTGTTTTCCACGATGTGGAATCCTTGGCCGGCGAGTTAGTGCCATGCACTGCCTGGGGCTCTGACTCAGTGAAGGCATATAGATGCTAAATGGCTTCTGTTCTGGGATGTAAACTAGGCCACGGGGCTGCAGCGTGACACGGCCGCGCCTCAGCCTCAAGGCCAACCACGAGAGACCAAAACCTGGGCCACCGCCTCCCAGAGACTGGAAGAATGCAACGAACACAGAGGCACACCGACACGCGCGGGCGGGGGGGCCAGACGGCACACAGCACTGGCGCCAAAGAAAACGGCACGGGGGAGAGCCGGCGAGGGCAAGGCCCAACCGCGCAGGCCTTTGGCTGGCGGCCCCGGGCCTGCGGGTGCGATTAATCGCGACCGGGGGGGACCTTGGTCGCCGGGCTGCAAACCAGGGGCGCAGGAGTGCCGGGGCGGGAGGTGCTGCGGGCGCCGGCATGTCTTTGAAGGGCCAGGGCCGGCGACAGCGTCGCGGGCGCAGCTCTCCGGGGGCGGGGTGTGTTGTGGGTTCTCGTGCCCCTCCGAGGGCTTGCTTGCTAGAGCTGCGGCCCCAGGGCTTCCGGGGACACTCGGGGCGCCAGGGCACCCGCGACCCGACAAGGGAAACAGGGGCTGCGGCGACGCGCGTAGGGAGCTGCTTGGCCTTTTTGCGGCCCCTCTGTGCCCAAAGGTAGGGCACAAAAGCCGCGGAGCCTATGGAAGAGGCTGATGCGTGCCGGGGTTCTCCGGGTGGCTTAGCCTTTTTACACGCATACAAGGACGCACGCGCTTGCTCTAAGGTTGTAGTGATCAGGAGGCTCGAGATTACCGCGAAAAGCTGTTGCTGCTGGAGAAAAGAGTCCTGAACGCCGAGGGCGTTGCCACATGCGCACGCGCGAAGGAAGGCGATCCTGAAAAGTTGGCAGCGATTGCGAACCTAAGCATGGAGAGCTCTCTTTTCAATAGATGTATAAGTGTGATCTTGTGTTCGTTGTCTACTATGGGTTGCATTTTTGTAAGGAGAAGACCTCCACTATCACAGGCGACTAGAGGACAATCTTCACGCCAGACCACTCGCACAGTTTGCGGGGGTGTAAGGTATGAGGCTTACGGCTAATTATTGATGCTGGCGGACTATGGGGGCAAGAAGACGTGAGCTTTAAGCAGGGCCGGCAAACAATACATCCTCCAGCATTGCCGCCTCTCACTGCCCTCGCTACTAGTAGTCTTGGGGCTCCCCCTCGGTGTCTAGTGCTGTATTACGTCTATTTTTCGGAAAAGCATGCCCGCGCCAGGTCGGCTCAGCACTGCGCGAAAACGGCCGAAATTGCCTCCACACCGCTGCGGGGCCAAAAGCCCCTCGTAGCAGCGGCCCTGGGTTGTCGTTTGTCGGTTCGTGTGTCTTTTTCTTCGCGTCCCCTTTTTACCTGCGCCCCACCCTCCAGGGCCCAGGGCGGCAGAGGGCGAACGCGTGCGGGGGGCTGTAGAGGGGCGCGGGGATCCCCACGACGCCTGGAAGGCTGCGCCGGCAAATGGGAGAGGGAATTTTTCGAGCGGCGACAGTGTGCGGGCGCCGTCTTTGGGGTTTTCTTGTTGCCGGGTAGGGTTGAAACGCCTCCGGACTTTTGAAGGCCTCCGCTGGTTTTTCTCCATAGGATAGAATAGCGGACACCTCTCGCGCTTTTTTCATAGGTAGGCGCCGCAGTGCGTCGGCGTCGGCAGTTTTTGCGAATATAGGAGGACACCAACTAACTGCCCTCATGGCCATGCGCAGGGCATTGCTGTATGCATGCGATACCCTCCCCACCCTCCGCCAGCTGCGTTTTGCTAAGAGGTGGGCGGAAAGAAGTCCAAGCGCGCCCATACCGAGACTCGGAACTCATTCCGCCACACCTTGCGAAAACTCTTGGCCCAATCTTTCTAGTCCAAATGTGAAGCGGGTGAAGCCTCCCTCTCCGTGCGGAAGCTGTGCGAGCGGTCTCTTCCGCGTCTGCGATGACTCAAAGTCAGAAATTGCGTCGCCAGGAATTGTAGGCCTATCATGGAAGGGAAAACGGGCTTTGCGCTTCTGATCAGAGTCGATCAGTGGCCGTCTGTGTACGGTTGTAAGCTTTTTAGAGCTGGCGCGAAAACATTAACGGCCACACCGGTGGACGGGGGAGAGCGCTGTAGCCTTATCGAAAAAAACACCATGAGGGACCCCCAGTGGGCCGTGGGTTCTCTTGCTAGCGGTAAAGTAGAGACAGGGGGGGTTTTTGCGTTGCAGGAGGATGTAGTCGCTTAGCACCCTTTAACATTGTGAAGAGGCGCGCAGCGGTTAAGCTCAAGCTTGAATTGCTGAGGCAAGAGCCGACCAACAGCAGGCTAGAGGGGAGCCGTAATGTATGCTATCAGGATGCCTTGGTAAGTAACATTAGCTCTTAGGAGGTCCTCCCCTTATTAATGAATGAATTAACATTTTTTTTTGCGACCTCTTTATTTTTTCATACCTCCGCAGAAGCCTCTTGAGGCTTTTTCGCGACGGACATGATTTCGAAATTTGAATTAACTTGTTTTTGAAGATATGCAGCACCTGGTCTGGTGAGCGCCTAGCGGTCTGGTGAAATTCATAGGTCGCGAAGCCATACGGCCTGAGCGTGAAGAAGGGCAATAAAAAAATTGACCAGGCACTCCAGATTTTCAAAAAAATGACATAGCTTCACGCCCTAAGGAAGTAGCTTAGTTTTTAGTGCCTTGCCGTCGTGCTTCGGGATTCTCTGGGGGTGGGGTTCGAGAAAGCAAAACTGTGCACTAAAAAAAAACCTCTAGGGAAGGCATCTCTAGGTGTTCATATTGTTCCCTCATCATAGGTTAGTCCCCTCACAGCCCAGTCCCCTACACAGTTTGCACTCTACTAATCGAAAACTGGAAATAAGCGAGTAGCTACCTGAAGTTAGAGGGTTGCTACGCTGTTCCCCTTTCAGTACCTCGGTTATTCAAAGTAGCAGCTTGCTTATTTCAGTTTTTCGAAGTAGAAGCACTGACTTCGAAGCGTCCTCGGTGCACCTCATCAAAATTCATATGTCGCGAAGCCATACGGCCTGAGCCTGGAGGAGGCTACTTCTGCGGAGGGGTTAGCCATCACCGAGTGGCACCTGAGCAACAATTAAGGCATACTGGGTACAGTGCTACAACTAAGAAGTACTAGCAAGAAGAACAGCGTCTCTCTGTAGCGATTGGAGGTCTATGCTGTATAGATACATGCCCAGAAAGCGGGCCCATCAAGGGCCCGCTGCGCTGGGCATAGGTTAACAACTAGACAGGTTGACTACTAAGAGACAGAAAGACAAACGAAAAAAGTCGCCAAGTCTGCTCGCCAAGGCTGGAGGAGGTTACCGCTATGGCTACTGCCTTGGCCAACTTGCTTGCTAGGGGCAAGCCAATGGGCGCCAAGGCTGGCCCGCTGAGCGTCATGGAGTCCATGAGAAGGCCACGCTTGGACATATGTAGGCACAGAGGTTGGGCCCTTTTGAGTGTGATCATGTCCAGGAGAATCGTAAAGCATAGCATACCCATGGGATGGCAAAAGGCTGACACTGGCGAGCGTCATGGACGAGGCCCATGAGAAAGCCACGCTTGGGCATATCTATGCGCAGAGCCAGAAGCTGGGCCCCAACCTTCAGGCGCGGGGATGTGTCTATAAGGTTGGCTGTTTCATGGACATGACGCAAGACGCCCACCACGGTCCGCGCCTCAGACATGCAATGGCCCACAGTTATCATTCTCACACACAGGCATCGACATCCCCAGCCTTCAGCCTTCACCGACGGAGATGCATGCGCCTGGCCTTCTCATGGACATGATGACGCCCGCCAGGGTCCACCCTTATCCACTTTCTCACAGACATCGACATCCTCAACGGCTTCGACTTTCACAGGCAAATCTGTATACCTTTGGCCTTCTCATGGATATGATGACGCCCACCAGGGTCCACCCTTCAGACACGCAAGTGCTCAAGGCTATCACTCTCACAGACATCGACATCCTCAACGGCTTCGACTTTCAAGCACAGAGATGTACATCTTTGGCCTCCTCATGGATATGATGACGCTCACCAGGGTCCACCCTACCTTCAGACATGCAAGTCCTCACGGCTATCATTCTCACAGACATCGACATCCTCAACGGCTTCGACTTTCACACACACAGATGTACATCCTTGGCCTTCTCATGGATATGATGATGCTCACCAGGGTCCACCCTTCAGACATGCAAGTCCTCGCGGCTATCATTCTCACAGACATCGATATCCTCAACGGCTTCGACTTTCAAGCACGGATATGTATACCTTTGGCCTTCTCATGGATATGATGACGCCCACCAAGGTCCACCCTTCTGACATGCAAGTCCTCACGGCTATCATTCTCACAGACATCGACATCCTCAGCGGCTTCGACTTTCATGCACAGCGATGCATACCTTTGGCCTTCTCATGGATATGGTGACGCTCACCAGGGTCCACCCTTCAGACATGCAAGTCCTCACGGCTATCATTCTCACAGACATCAACATCCTCAACGGCTTCGACTTTCACAGGCAAAGTTGCACACCTACACCTTTGGCCTTCTCATGGATATGATGATGCTCACCAGGGTCCACCCTTCAGACACGCAAGTGCTCACGGCTATCATTCTCACAGCCATCGACATCCCCAACGGCTGCGACTTTGAAGCGCCGAGATGTATGTCTTTGGCCTTCTCGCGAATCAATATGATCACGCTCGTCAGCCTCTACCCTTTCAAGTGCTCACCCTCTCCCTTACAATTCTCCCGCTCTTTTGCTGGTTAGAAGTATACTGGTTAACCATCTCCAAGGGCTGCCGCGCGCTCCTGTGCCGTGGTCGATTGCTGTGCGCGGAAGGTAGTCGCGGAAGGGGAGCGAGCTAACTTTTTTCCAAAAACTTCGGGGAGGTCGTTCAGTTTTCTCTATATTTGAATGACCTCCCTGAAGTCTTTGGAAAAAAGTAAAGGCGTTGGGCGATATATGACAAGGGTAGCTAGCGGCTGGCAGTTCGTTGGGGCGATTCGCTAGGGGTGGGCGCGTAGTGTCTTACTGCAGATGTGGCTGGTGTACGTGAGTAGCCTACAAACTAACAGCCGCGAACACGTTAGCACGTTCTTGACACCTTTGGACTCGTAGTACTAGCGAAGGCCTTAAGGAGCCGCTGTTATTAGCCTAAGTTTATAACAGCGCGTCCTTAAGGGAGCTCCTTAAGGAAATTTTTTTCCTCTTAAGGAAAGTTATAATAACTTTTTATAATAAAAATTCTTTAAGGAAACTGATTTCCTTAAGGAAGCTCCTTAAGGAAGCTCCTTAAGGAAGCTCCTTAAGGGAGCTCCTTAAGAGATTTCTGGCAATTGCTAATACTATAAATACTAATATACATAGATAATTCATAGCAAAGGATAGCACTCATAACTGCGTGCGCCCTATGATAATAAGGAAAATAATAGCGACGCTCAAAGCACTAAATAAAGCAGCCGGCTCGTTTTTCCTCTTCTTATCAACTAGGTTTATCCCTTCATGCAAACAATTATAGCCGCATACTATAACAATGAATAACGATACATACATAGCAATAGAAAGCAGTGCGTCCGTGTTATGCATTAGACGCCAGTACTCTAATTATCTACTTTATACAGCAAAAATAAGCTTGAGACCTATAAAGGAGTAGCTTTGCGGCTTTAGATGTACGCAAACCACGGCAAAGATGTACGGGCTAGATGTATACGCCCGAGATATATAACTCGAGGCAGATAGCCTTCACGGAAATCATGGGAAAGGCGTACCCTCAGGATGCACCTACACCGGGGCGGTTCGTCAGGGTCTGCGAAGTTCCATACTTTTGAGATGTATGCACCTCACGCCGCAAAAGCGCCATCGCCTTGCGTGCATCTTTTGCACGATCCTGCGCCTGCTGAGCATTTTGGCAGTAGCAGGCGCTGCGCCTGGGCAGTGCCTGCTGCGCATAGCTTTCCTGCCTGGCTTGGCTTGCTCGCTTGCTCGCTTGCTCAGCTTGACTTGCCTGCGAAGCCTAGCCCCATCTTGCTTGCTGAGCTTCATTAGTCCGCCCGCTACGCATAAGCTAGCAAGCCAAAACTAGCCAGCAGCCTCATACAGTTGCGCCATTTGGATAGGCGACCGGAGTCAGCTCAGAGGGCACGCAAGACCCCCGAGCAGGTCAAAAGTAGACAGCAAGAGCAGCCCCAAAGGGCTGCGCTTTTGGGTAAGAGATCTAAGGCACCCCAGCAAGGGGTCGGGCCACAGCATCCAAGTGAACCAAAAGTAGCCAGCAACATCCCAAAGGTGTGCCATTTGGGTGGGAGATCTGCGCCAGCTCAAAGGGTAAGACCTTCCAAACAGGTCAAAAGTAAACGGCGGCCCCACAAAGTTGCGCCATTTGGCTAGGAGATCTGAGTCAGCCCAAAGGGCAAGGCCTCGCAAGCAGCGGAAAAGCAGGCAGCAACCCCCTGGAGCTGGCTCATTTGGGTCGGTGACCTGAGTCAGGTCAGCCCAAAGGGCAAGGCCTTCCAAGCTGCTCAAAAGCAGGCAGCAACTTCGCAAAGCTGCGCCAATTGGGCGGGAGATCGGAACCGCCTCAAAGGGTGAGCGCAGCTAAGGCCATCCAAGCGGGCCAAAAGTGGGCAGCAATCTCATGAAAAACGCGGCGCAATTTGAATTGGGGACTTGAGCCAGCTCCTCAAGTGGTCGGGCCTCTCAAGCGGGTCAAAAGTAGACGGCAACCCCATAAAGCTGCGCCATTTGGATAGGGGACCTGAGTCGGCTGTCAAAGGGTCGAGCCTTTCAAGCAGCTCAAAAGTAGCAGGCAGAAGCCTCCTAGCGTGGCGCTTTTTGGGTAGGGGGCCCGAGCTGGTTCAAAGGGTAAGGCCCTCCAACTTGGGCAGCGAGCTGAAACCAGTGCAAGGGCGAAAGCGTAGCACTTTGCCAGTGCTTCCGCTTCAGCAAAACGCAGCAGCTTTCAGCGCGTAACCGATTTGCTTACGCGGTAGCCCGTTACTCTTCCCTCACGTAATTCGTAGCACGCCGGTAGGCTGTAAGCCTATGGTGTAGCCCGTAGCATTTGTATGGCCTTTCCGCTCTGCCCTACACGCCGGGGGCGCGTGGGCGGTAATTATATTCAAGTCAAGTAAAATTATACTAATACGAGAAGTAGCTCCATGGAGCATCTTCAGAAGGTTGACAATAGTACAGTTTTTTGTTGAGCGCTACTACGGATAGTAGGTGTGGGTGCCCAGTTGAGGGTGGGCAGAGGATCCAGACCATTTGCATGATAGACCTCATGATTCCGGTTGCGCTAATAAGCGAAGCTTCACGATGCGACTATCGCAGGCAATTGTGGGAAGGATAGCGCGTTGTGTAAAGCGCAAGCTGCTATCATAGAGGAGCAGCAGATGGCGATGCCTTACCTAATCACGGAGCCCCCCACGAATATGAAGGCAACCGCTGCAGCATCCTCAGCATCATCCTTGGTCCCATTTTCAAGCGAAAAAAGGGGCCAGGGATGGCCAGGTCTTCGGGATGCGACGCGGCAGGTCTAAAAATAGCGCCCAAAGGGTTGACGCAATCGCAATAGAGATGAGCCATGCGTACCTGGACTCAAGGCGCGATTAAGTACAGGGGTACTAGTTGAGTACTGCCCAGTACTAGTTTACAGGCCACGACATCAGTACTAGTTTACAGGTCCCGTGGTCAGTACTAGTTTACAAGCTACGCATTTATAGACATCAGTGCCGCTTTAGTTTGATTTGTTCGGTTCTAAGCTTCAATAGACATCAGTGCCGTTTTAGTTTGATTCGTTCGGTTCTAAGGTTCAATAGACATCAATGCCGTTTTAGTTTGATTCGTTCGGTTCTAAGGTTCAATAGACATCAATGCCGCTTGAGTTTGATTTGTTCGGTTCTAAGCTTCAGACCAGAGTGAGTGGCAAAGCCTTTCTAGGGTTAACAGTAGCCCCGCTAGGGTTGATTATAGCAAGCCTATCTATAGCTGTAGTTCTAGTCCTCACTCCTCAGGCCTTTTTTTTATGTATGTGCCCTGGCGCCTCTGAGGCTTGTTTCAACAGGTCGGAGCACAAGTTGGGGACCACGACTCGGAGAGGGCAAGTACTACTAATTTATACTAGTTTACATGGGGACCACGACTCGAAGAGTTTAGCACTAGTTCTTTACATGCCTCCAACTACTACTATTAACGTGCTCCTTATATTTACTGCCCTTCAACGAAAATCAGTACTACCTGTGAAAAAGCGCTTGGAGTTCGAAAGATGTATCTAATACAAGAAGATATTACGTTCAAATACATCCGGGGCACAACTTCCTTTAACTGCATATACTAGAAGTAGTTCTAATAATCTCTAATACAACTGTCTAATCCAAGCTTGGCTATGCTTAGATGTCAGAGACTTAATCTCTAATCTGCGTCATCTGCCGCAGGGCCTGAACCAGACTGGAAGCGGTACGGGGATAATGACGGAGTGATTCCGTATCCTCTAGGTCACCAGCGCGTGCCTGTTTATCCCACCCTCACGTCGCTCCTGATCGAAGTAAATTATGGCTATTGCGTGTTTCTTGTTGGGTTATCTTACCTTCAAAGAGAGGGGCTATCTTCTTATGTTCTATCTTATCCTCTTGTTATTTGTTGAGCTATTGTATCTTCAAAAAGAAGTAAACTCATGCTCTATGGGCATACAATTTAGCGCGCGGCCTCGCTATGAATGATACTACTGGCATGGCCTAATTCTTCAAAAATCCAGTCCCTTCACACTCGTACTCCATGTGCCCCATGAATGATGACGACAGGGTAGTTAGTCATTCGTCTTACGGATGGTCATCTGCGGCCATTTGGGACGCAATGGCGATGATAATGATGATGACGATGGTGATGGTGATGGTGTTGTCTAGATGGGAACCCCTAAGCAAAGGCGAAGCAACAGGCAAAGCAGACGCCTTCGGTCTCTATGGCGAAGCAGCAGGCGTCATCCACTCCTAAGGCTGCTCAGGCAACGCTATCTACTGACGCCACCCTGAAGGCAACAGCAGTAGACCTGGCAAGCGAGCAGTCCAAGTTAAGGCGATATTAATACACTACCAAAGATAAGACTCCCTACCGCAGATGCATGCTTGACATTATCCTTGACCCCTTTGCAGTCCTAGTGGGCAGCACGCATTTGGCCGCTTGGGCAACAGGCATTTGGGTCTCTTGTTCGAGTTGGAAAAGTAGGACTACATCAGAGATTTTTTAATTTGGGTAAGGCTGTGCACTGTGCAGGGTGCTTCTGTAAAAAATAAATGGATTGCTCCTCTGTGGGAGGAGCGGACGCTAACAAAGCCGGGTGAAGAAGGTCAGCCGGGTGAAGGTCGTGGTCAAGGTGGGGCGGGGGGAGGAGGGGGTAACGAGAAGGAGGGAGAGCAACCACCGCAACGGGAGAAGAAAGCTGGGGCAGAGGAGAAAGGAGAGACGGACGAGCCGGGCCCGGTGCCGGTGCCGCCCCGTCCGCCAGCTAAAAGGGAGAGGCCAAAAAGCGCAAGTGGGACAAGGCCGAAGCAAACGAAGCAAGCGCCAAGAGACGAGCGACCAGGAACAGCAATTGGCAAGCGCGCGACTGCGGCAGCGCCCCCAAAATCAGCAGAGCAGACGGACACTATGGTCGGCTTTTATTCATCTCACTCAGTGCCTTGCCACCTCCTTTTCCACTGTAATCGCATCAAGTGCAAGGGTTCAGGCATCAAAAACGACTTACTAGCTTGTAAACCACTTGCTAGTGAGGTTGTAAATAGTTCCTGTTTCAGGGCGCAGATGAATTCTAGCACACTCTAGGAGAACAAAATCCAGTGTCGGAAAGCAGGAGACGGCAGACGCAGGAGGAGCAAAGGCGGGGCCCCCCGACAGCGCCGCTGGGTTAAGGGCTGGTGACAACTACATTTAGTTTTAGTAGAAGAATAGCTGTATCGCTTTTTTACGTCCTCTCCTTTTTTGTGTATCTTTCATTCCTACTTGGGGCTCTGCCAAAAGAATGGCATCGCAGTGTCCTCTTTATTGTTCTTCTAGCATCTTCAAGTATCTAATACACTCAATTTTTTTAGCAGAATGAAAGAAAAGAAAGAACCTACGCACCAGCTCGTTAAGAAAGGCACTCGGCCTAGGGTGGATGGCCTTGTTGTATAGTACATCTAATAGACCCTATTTAGCATTCAACACTCCCTACGGCCATCCTGAGCTTCTTCTACCCTAGTAGGGCACTAATAGTTGGCTCGGCTAGTTGTACACGCGTGTTATTATCTCGTGTGCTGAGGTACCTGGTTGAGTGAGTTAACCCTTTCGTATTTTAGGGGTAGAGTAGCCATAGCCGTAAAATGGGGGACCAAGATGAAGGCAGGCAGCATCGTAAAGGAGCTTAGCTTTTTGCTTCATAATTTATTTGAAGGAAAATTATAGACCTTTCTAATGCCTTCCAGTCATCCACTGGTCACCCACTCCCACTGTCGCTAATGATGGACTAAGAATGCTATTACAACTGCTCTTTTTAGATGGGCCCTCGCCGAGCGGGCCCGGCGCTTATTCCACCCACTCCACCTACATAGATATAGTATCCTGCGCTTCTTCTAAAGATTGGGAGCAGAGCTTCGGCTACCGGTGGTGCTGAAGCAACTTCGCAGCAAGACGGCGCCTCTTCAAGTTAAGTGATATAAGTAGTGGCAGCAATGATCCTAAGTTCTAAGTAAGACGGCGCCTCTGCAAGTTAAGAAATTCTTACTAGAAGTTGCGCTTTCACGACTTTTGTTTTTCCTCTTTTTTGGTCATTTCCTAGTTGGGTTGGCTCCACCACTCTTACTAAAAGTAGTAACAGCACCATAAGCAGCAGTAGTGGCTAATAGCATCTTACTGCATCGAATGTGTGACCCCTCTTGAGTTTTCAGCACTCAGCTAGCGACGCCTAAAGCACATGAAGAAAAGCAACCGCTTCGTTTTCCCACCTTAATCATTTCAATACTTAGGTCCACTGAAAGGCCTCAGCAATAGACACGCGGCGCTATAGAAGCGGTTACATGACATGGCATTCATTTGCGTGCGCCATCTTTACTGTCTAGGTAGTTCTAGTACACGGACTTAGCAATCAGGCAGGTCTAGGGCTTCATATTTGCGTGCGCCATCTTTACTGTCTAGGGAGTTCTAGTACACGGACTTAGCAATCAGGCAGGTCTAGGGCTTCATCACTTAATCAAGCCTTGTAATCCGCTAGTATGCAACATCTCTTGCCTGCTTATTCTATATGGTATTTACTTGTAGCTGCTACCTACGGAGCCAGGCAGTTACTTGTTCTAGTCGCTACAACGTGGCTCGACCGAATGAGTGAGTAAACTGAAGTACCTCACCTATACTTACTTAATTCCATCCTTGCCGTGCTGGGTATGGCAAGGACGTCCATGGTATGTACTTAAGTACCTTACTTGCTCAATTCCAGCCTCGCCGTACTTATTCCCATATACTTACCGTACCTGCTTACTTCCCTACTGACTTACCTCACCTACTTTTACCTCACTGGTGCACGCTAGACCTTAATAGTTAAATGATTCCGCTAATGCAATACTGCTAATGTTGTCATACTGCTAATGTTGTCATGCTGCTAATGTAATATTAGTTTGAGTTAAGTCCGCTAACGCAATACTGCTGGCGCTAGTACTAGTGGTGCACCGGCGGAAGAACGGGTGACAGGAGGCGAACCGCCAGCCGAAGTGGCATCAAAGGCTGATGAGAACGGAGGAGGAGCGGAAACGGGGCCGAAGAATGGAGGAGGAGATGGAGGTGGAGCGGAAACGCCAGGCGAAGGAGCTGAGAGCGGTGCACCAGATGCAGGTGCGCAAGGTTCAGAATCAGATGATTAAGGCCCAAATAATCAGAATCAGAATCGGATGATAGATATCTCATTTCCAAGAGCCATTTTGCTTCGTTTCCTTCTTAGGATTCCGAGAAAATGAACCCAAGAAGTGAACTCTTTCGAGCTCTAAGATGACGAAGCAGCGAAAAATGCAGAGACGGCCACACTGACACTGGCTTTTGGAGCCGGAGTTAAGCAGGGTTCTTGTTACCATATTAGTTACATATAGACCATTCTTTCGCTACCACATGATTTTTCGCTACCACATGATTAGTAAACGTGTAACTTTTCAGAGAAACACATTTTGCGCTGGCCATAATTTTTACATGAAAAATCAGAAGAAAAATGGGGGTTGAAGGAAGTAGTGCATCAAGTAATTAAACATTACACCTCTCGAATGGGTACACTACTACTACTACTACAGGCAGTACCACTACCATTCTTTCTAGGGGACTTGTTTTCCAATCATAGAAGAGATTTCTCAGCAGGGATGTTTTAAAGAAATTAGCAACATGTTGATGTTTTTATTTGGGTGTGCGTGAGCTATGTGACATTAAATGCTTAAGATGTGTTCAAAGACAGCAAGGGAGCACATCTTAATGTACATCAAAAATGCAGCAATGTTGCTCTAAGAACGGAGGCGGGGCTCTGCTGCTTTTTTTTATTCTTTGTTGCGTCTGTGGCGGCAGCAGGAGTGCCCAGCGAAATGAAGAAAGGGTGAGCAGAAGTTCCAGGACTCCGGAATCGAAGGCTGTGGGAGTAGCGCCTCCTACTTAGGGAATCACTCCTATTTTTGGGTTAATGGAGTAGTCAATCGCAAATCGTACATCATATTTTGACTACCAGATCCTCCTCAACTGTAGTATCGTACTTAAGAGACTACCTAGCCAGCACCAGTTTTTACTTGCGAGATACTTACTTGAACTCAACAGCAGTACTGTACTGTTACTAACTAGAGCACTTGAACTGGACAACAAGCAACCGTACTGGACAACAACGGTTAGAGCAGTACTGTAAAACTAGTCGGTAGTCCTTCTGTGGCTGCGGATATCCGCTTGAGTATGCAGGTAAAACTGTGAATGGCGGGCCGAATCCTAATCCTAATACTACTACCAACCCGTAAAGCGACAACTTTCTGGTGGCCCGGCTATAGATTTATTTGATTGATTAAAAGGGAGGAAGCACATAGTCCTATGAAAAAAAAGGTTGGTTGTACTGTAGAAACTTTTCTAATTCCTAGCTGGTGGCGATGCAGCTGATGGGCCTGATGGACCAGCAGAGGGCCATCGGCCTGATGGGCCAAGAGAAGACCATCGGCCTGATGGGCCAAGAGAAGACCATGGGCCTGATGGGCCAAGAGAAGACCATGGGCCTGATGGGCCAACAGCGGACCGTGTTCCAATAGACCCTAAGGGACTGGAACAGACACAGCCAGTTACGCACGCTTTCATAGTGTAGGTGCGCGCTACGCACGCCTTCCTAGTGTAGGTGCGCGCAGAAAGCTTTTAGACTAGTACTGCTGGACTACAACTTCTAGGCATATAGATTTTTTTCAGTTTCCTCTTAGAACATGAGTTGGAGGCTTTCAATTACGAACCTCAATAGAGACTACAACTGAATATCGTTAGATCATGTAACATCCGAGGCGCCACTTACAATTATCAGACTGCAGCTTAGTAGATCTGTTAGCGAGACGACAAGGACATTTTCAACACACTCGTAACAAAAAATTCACTTCGACGAGCTACAGCTTCTGCAAATGTATGGGAAATCTTGAATGTCATATTTTTTCTACTTAGGGTTCCACTTGAGGCTAGGTTAGGGAGAAGACGTTGTCTGCTAGGAAATCTAGTAGGCCAAAACCTAACCTAGCCTTGAGGCTGGACTAGGAGACAGAAAGAACACTTCATAGCCCTCCCTACTCATGGAACTAGAACCCGTGTTCAAGTGGGCGCGTTTACTAAGGAACATTCATAGCCCTTGTACTAAGGAATGCTCCTGGAACTAGAACCCTTTCGTAGCCCCTTTACTAAGAATTCCTTTCCAGGAATTATTCCATAAAGTCTCTATTTGCTAGTGGGAGTCCTGCAAATGGTGAATCACTAACACTGTTCACACATACTGCACCGGGTGAATCACTAACACTCCTGTTCCCACGGGTTAAAAAAATCAAATATCCTAGTACAGTTGAGATAAGATCATATCCTCAGCACACGAACAGGATATATCACAACAGTTAAAAGATTGAAAGCTCGAAGTGTCCTCCATGTAATACAGTTACTTGCGGATACTAGAAGCGGCACCATCCGGGATACACACATATAATAAAGTTGAAAAGTTAAAGGATACAGCCTTACAGTACTTTCATCTTTCGTTTTTTTTGTTGAATCTGAGGTAGTTCGTTAACAGCTTTAGCGCTGTTGAGGTAGTCTTTCTTTCGTCAGGACCACGAGTCAGGCTCTAAAAGTCCCCAGGTCGGACCGGCGGAAGAGCGTAATTCCATTGAGGTTGCTCCGACCAGAAGGACCGCAATCCCGGACTTTGACGTTTTAAGGGCTTATAATTTATATTTTCCCTAATTCCGGGATTAATTTATCCTAAATCCGGGATTTTCTAGGTCCTAGATGCTCCAACTCCAGTGCCTGAGCTCAATCTGATGGTGATCTGCCTCCTGCAAGTGTCCTCTCTCCTCTCTTTTCTCCTTCTTACCTATCCGATCCTAAATCCGAGATGTAGTTCTAGTCCTAGAATTCTCTCCTAAAGCGATAGCGAGCCAATCCTGCAAGTATCCTAAAGGAGGCTACGCGGCTCGTTTCCCTCGTTGTTTCGGATCTCCTTAGAGGTTAGTCCCCACCCGCAATCCGTATGGAGTCAGGGCAGCTCGCCGCTTTTGAAATAGAACTCGGCAGACAGCGTTGCAATTTCTTCTTTTCCCCTATCATATTTATGCTATACTAATTTTATCCTTTTCTACACTAGCCTACGCATTACAAATGTGACGTGCCTTGTATCCGATCTTTTTATGTTACGTAAGCGTCAAAAGATACCTCCAGAACAGGTGAATGAATGAAGGAATGAATCCTATTCATTCACTCGCTCACGACTAGACTACGACTGGTGGCACTAAGAGGGCTATCATCTAATGTGTGGTGATATTTCAGATGGCTTCTTCGATGAAGACGAGGACGAGGACGTTAAGGGCTACCGCTGAAGCATCCTCAGCGCCATCCCTAGTTGTCTCTCGTTCAATTACATCCCAACAGAGGAGAGCTACTCTGCTGTTGATATTTTTCTACTTAGAAAAGAAGCATCCATGACTTCTGTGCAATATTGTCTCTTAAGACGTGGTCTTATAATAGGAAATGCGACAGGGACAAACACATGAACGTCACGCTCTCAAGGAGGATGCGAGCGCGGTAGCTCTAAGAACGAGGAGGTTACAAATGTGCCAGTCGCTGCCCCAAGCTTAAGGGTTTCCGGAATTACATCCCACAGCCTACTCTCCTTGTCTCTTTTCTTACAGAAGAAAATGGCTGGGCAGCTGTTGTGGGACTTGACTTCGTTGTCGCCTGCCATCTTTTCTCTACGGTGACCACGAAGGGTCAGATCAGGGGAATTGACATGACAGGGGCGTGCTCGTCTGCGGAATGTTGTAATTGTTTCGTAACCTGCTCTAACAAGCCCAGGCGGTGCAAGTCCTTACGAAGATAGAGTAAGTGCCAGGGATTCAACTTGTCTGGTAACTTTGCGCTTGTCCCTTCGTGACATGTGGGTGCACAGTCCTAAAATAATTGTAGTTTACTACTACAATAAGATAATTGCTCGCACTACTAACTACTAAATAAAATGAAAATATTAGTAGAGTTTACTACGTACTAGTTTACTTAGTACTTTATGGACGAGGAATTCTTTCTCGAGATGATCAATATGAGCGAATTCTTTCTCTAGATGACCATGACCTATCCTAACCTCTTAGGATGAGCTCGCCTGTTTTCTAGTGCGTTCTCTAGTGCGTTCGACACATCGTGAACTATAGCCTTACCAAAATACATCTTTGGTTCCGATGAACTATAGACGGGTTATAATATTCGTACTAGGACGAGCTTCTATCTGTAACTGTATTCTCGTGAGGCCGGTGCGCCTGGAATCGGACTCCACCTGCCGCCGGTTTGCGAACTGGATAAAACTGGGATCACCCTTCCGGCGGTCTTGGAATACAAAAAAAAAAAACCCTGACTCGATCGAGCCCCCTGAATCTGAATCTGGGTGCTGCTCTTTTGGTCGGCTCTAAAAAGCTACAGCTAGTCGTGCGAAAACACCGGCTGGAAAGATTAAGGCACAACATCCTTCCAGTAGACATCATCACGTCGTTATGAATCACTAGGTCTGTAGTGGTGGAGGATGCTCTTCACGGCTTAGAAGTACGTTACTGTATTAAGGCTCAGCTTTCAATGGTCATTGGGGTTGGTCACTGAGATCCCTCTTGAGAGAACAGGGGAAAATGAAGGAAAAGCAAAGGGAGAGGCATGGGGCCCATTTCTTTCAGAGTCAGTGACCATTGAATGCTGAGCTTTAACTGTATGCTCATCGGGTTATCCCTTTGGGTCTGGTCTCAAAGCTGATTTGGTAGGTCAGATTGGAGACACATGACATGACATGCTGCTTGATTGGAGTCCACTGACGAATATCATTTGATTGGTCTACTTACTAGATTCGAATGCGTCTCAACATGTATTTACTTACTAGATTCTAATCATTGGCAGTGCGGGTTGTAATCATCGTCATAAAATCATCTACTAAAATGAATATCAATATCATTTTTGTTGATGTCACTTGGGATCTTGAGCGGATCTTGAGCAACGTTAGATTTAGCTGATTAATAACGGCGTAGAAATCAAATGTTCTTCCGATTCACAACAACTCCCATCTTCCTCCTACCTAGTTACTAGGGCGCCTGGGAACGAAGATATATCAGAGCGTCGTTCCTAAGGAAGGTCCTTACTGTCGACAGTTGCACAGGTCTCAAGTCGACAGTAAGGACCTTCCTTAGGAACGTCGACAGCCTTCAAGATGGTACACCAGCCTTCAAGTCTTTTGATTCCAACCTCTAAAGTACCCAGACAGACCCATTGTTGTTACTTCTAATATGAAAAAGGGCAAAAAGGCAAAAGAAAAAGCAGCCGCAGCAGGTGAGGCAGGCGCGGCGGCGGGGGAGAAAAAAGTCTCAAAGAAGAGAGCTACAAAAGTAGCTCCTGACGCCGATACAACGAAAGGGGGGAAAAAGAAGAGAGCTACAAAAGTAGCTGCTGACGCAGAAACAGCGAAGGGAAAGGCCGCAGGCAAGGCCAAGGGAAAAGTGAAAAGAAGTGGTAATTTATTTATTTTATATTTCTCATTTTTCATTTTTCACGTAAGATCCTAGTAAGTGGATGATCATGTGACCAATAGATAGAAATAGAATATTATGGAGGTTTTGATTTGATCAACCTTTGTTTGAGACGAGTGTATGATTCTCGATTTGGTTTTCTTCTTCGGTTTCAGTCATTATTTGATCAGCCTTTTACTTCAGTTTTCCTAGATAGGTACCGCAACATTCCTAGATAGTAAGGTACCGCATTTTTCCTAGATAAGGTCACTGACGGGTCTTTGTCCCCTGAATAGGCTTTGCCCCCGGAGCCTAGTTGTTACAAGAAGAATGGGCACACTTTTGTATACTTGCTCAACCTACCCGGCTAATATTAACCCATAAATGGCTACACTGCTACTACAACGACTAAGAAGAATGGCTACACTGCTACTATTACTACTATTAAGAAGAATAGCTACACTGCTACTATTGCTACTAAGAAGAATGGGCTTTGTTCGGACACAGAAAACGAATTCAACAATTCCAGCGAGCAAGAGTTATGAATGGATTTGAGTTTTAGATGTGCATTCGTCGGAGGGCGCAGGTTTTCACTGTGGGTGGCGAATAACTTCCTCTCCTCCACTATCGAGCTGTAGATGAGATTTTTCTTAGTGCGACGCAGTGTGTGTGCGTGTATATGAGATTTAGATCGAACCGCTTAGATATTAGATTTAGTCCCCTGCATAGAAGGAGCTAAAAGTAGATTGGAGTCAATATATAACTTCCAGTAACATCATCCAACATGATCGCCAAATTCGGTACAGGCTTAATAGCTTGTGGGGGGTGGATTAACTTTGCGTGGCTCTAATGAAGGAAAGGAGAGGAAGGAGAGGCTCTTCCGCATATATCTGACGATGAGCCTGGATCTGGGGTTAAGGCTCAATATATTTCATTCCATCTACGAATCAACATAGGCTCAAAAACATATTTCAAGATAATTTCTACGAGAGGTCATTCCTCGCGGTTTCCTTCTTGGGATTCGGAAGAAATGAAGGGGGCGAGAAGTGAAACGCTTTGACGAGCTCTAATGAAGATGAGTCTCGATCTGGCGATGAGTCTCGATCTGGCGATGAGTCTCGATCTGGCGATGAGTCTCGGTCTGGCGATGACTCTGTGGATTGTGGCAGTGTGGACTATTCGGAGTCATGTTCAGTCACTCCGCGTGCGTCGAGGGAGAAAGGAGTTATGACGAATATACGTTATAACTATTGAATGGTGATGAAAGCCGGCTAGTTTCCCTCATTTGATGTTCGATTTATATTTAGTCCCTATTAACAAAAAAGGGCGAAAAGAACTGAATGAGATTTAAGTACTAGTACATATGAAGATATGGTCTCATTATAATCCTATCCTAATCCTAATCCTGATATGGTCTCATTATATTGATGAACAAGATGCTACACATTGGATGCTGAGTACTGAACAAGATAGGTAGGCTCGTTCCAAGAGTATAGGCATCCTTCGTCCAAGATAGGTATCCTTCGTCCAAGATAGGTATCCTTCGTCCAAGACGAGCATTCCTCTTTCATAAAACAAGGGGACTAGACGAGTGTCGGTTTTCGACTCTAGGTCCATTCACTATTGTATTCCATTCTAAGACGGAGGAAGCCGACTACGAGGATTCAGCTCAAGAGCGTCGTGATAGGCGAAGTTTATGATAGGCTCCACTGGAACTTCAGTAGTTTAGTATTTGGGGATGCATTTTTGTAGTTGATGTTTACTTTGTGTACAACAAGGGCAAGCTATTTTAGTAAATAGGAAACCTAGATTGAAAAATGCATCTCCACATAGACGTTTTGAGTTTATGTGGAGATGCATTTTTCTAGGTTTCAGTCTTCTAGGCTCGAGTAGTTGATGTTCACTTTGTGTACAACATAGATGATAAACAACGGCTCCCTGATGAGGCTTTCATGTACACGCGCTCGTCGCGCGTCGCGTGCTGTGGAGTTTGGACGTGCTATGGCGTCGAGGCATGCCGCGTCGTCCTGGAATGCTACGTCATCGAGGCATGCCGCGTCATCGAGGCATGCTACGTCATCCTCGAATGCTACGTCATCTAGGCATGCCGCGTCATCTAGACAGGTACTTGGGATCTCGCTCGTTTACGTAGTTGTTTCTTTACAAAGGACTCAAGCTTCAATCAGACCACTGTATGTTTTGATTACCAAAAGAAACAGACCACACGAATTGTATTAACTAATTCTGTGGTTGTTCTACAGAGACCAAGACGATCGATCGTGCATCCTGAGGCGATGAGAGTTGCGCAACGTGAACGTACGCAGGCAGACGCAGACGCGCAGCCAGAGCTATGCAAAGACAAAGAAACTCAAATATTTAGTCAGCCTCTTATTTTTCTTTCCCCCTCTTATTTGTTAGGCATCCACAATCTGATTGCAAAGAGGAAAGAGAAAAGGGAAAGAGGAAAGAGACTCATTCACGCGCTATCCCTCACGGCCTTTTGCTAGTACAAACACATGTCATACGTCCGTATTCGGGTGACCAAACTCTAAGATCTATTGCGGGTCAGGAACGGCCGGAATATGACGAGACTGAATACCAAGACGCTGAAGGGAACGAGGGGCCGCAGGATGATGAAAGACGCTGGATGTTTTTCTACGGTGGAAGGCTGAGATTAAGGCCTAGCCTAATCCATCTCTATCGGAATCCCTCAACAGTATGCCCCCCAATGCAAGGGATGCGTTGCCCCATATTCTTGAGGGATTTCCACAGGGATGAAGTGGGGAGAGATCTAATGAGACACGACCCGCGGCAACCTCTTGTGGTACAGTTAAGGGTGGCCCTTGTGGATGTTCTTGTGGTCCGTATCAGTGGTTGGAAATCATTTGGTCCCTGTTGGCAGTCTGCACTGAACTTTGTGCGATATTAATCGTATTGTATTGTATTGTTCAGTAATTTAGATCAAGCATGATAGGTACAAGCGTTCTATTGCTTTTGCTATCCTCATCATAAGAACCATCCGTCAAGTAGATTTCAACAAGGAATTTCTCGTCTAAGGAGCTTGCCGCAGACGCTCCGCCGACCCGCCTCGAAGAGACCGCCACGTACTATTAAGGGTTACCAAATTACAACTACATGTACCTACATGTACCTACTACCTGCTTACCAAGTTACCCAGAAGCGTTACCAAAGCACACATTTCCCGGCCTACTAATTGTAGTTTTTCTAGTATAAGAAGGGAAATGTTAACGTCAAGTAGGACCTTTATTATTTTTGTAAGAAGCTAATGGTCTTGAGATTGTAAGAAGCTAAATGTCAAGTGCGATGTTCTGAAGAATGTTTATGCTGTGCTGTATACCCCATGAATTAATGGGTGTACTACTACTACTGCTAGTGTCTCTACTCAGCCTCTAATAATAGGAGAGGAGCCACTATCGCAGAAGACGACTCTTCCGAAACTACTCCAGTGCCTCGATCTAGGAGACGGGCTGCTGCTAAGAGAAAGCAACCAAAGGAGCGTTCTTCGAGTTCTATTACGGCTGTAAGGATTTAGAGCTTATTGTTTTTTGTATCTTTGCCTAGTTAGGGGTCCGGGTCCACCACAGAGAGATCTTATATATGTTCCAGGGGCCAAGGGGCCTTCCCCCGCGATCTAACTCTTTCAGGGGGGGGTATATTAATATAAGGTGAGACCTCTGGGGCTGGCAGGACCACGACAGCGCCGGCGCCTATTTAGTAGTAGATAAGTACTTGCCTGCCCTTTCTTTTTTCGGTTTTTGTTTTTTCTAGTTAGGTATGCTCCACCAACAATATAGGAGAGATCTTACACCTTTAAGAGCGACTTCGTTTTCCTAGGTAGACGTACCGTGAGCGTACCTAGGAGTAGATCTAATTCCACCATCGCATCCGCAAACAGCACAAAGAAGAAGAGGAAAGGTCCGGATGGAGAGGAATTTTGACAAGAGAAAACTAGAAAAGCTGTCGTATTTTTGGTTCTTGTCGGCGTATCACAATATTAAGTATTTTTGTAGAGCAAATAGTATGTTTGTAAGAATAGGTCTAGGTGGTCGTGGATGAGTAAAAGCTTCGATTGTGGTCACGAGTAGAGTTTATCTAGAGCAATTACAATTACAATTTCGCATTACAATTTCCCAGTAATTTTTTTCATCCTTTTGATTCAAATCATTTAAATGTCAACGCACATCTTGAAAATCAGCAAAGTTTGAGATTAGTTATAAATTTGAGATTCATTAGTTGTAACATTCCTGAATTCACAGTGACATCAAAAATCAGTAACATCGTCGAGAATCAGTAACCTTAAAGATTAGCAAAAGCGAAAGTCAGTCGTTTCGAAAAATAGTGTCAGCATCGATTACAAGTGGCAAGCGGAATATCAAGAAGAGTAACGAAATTAAGAACGCGGCCTGCAAGAACTTGTATAGATTAGAAGACATCCACCTGCTGAAACAAAATGAAGTTGTGGGTGTTAAATCGCCTCAAAAGCTAAAGCTTTCTTGTTACAACTACCTCTCCATAGATCTAATCTACATGCCAACGAGCTATCCTCTTCAGCTTTCTGACAAATCGTTTCTCTGACAAGACCCAAGATCGCGATAAAGAGGGCCTAGTATCAATCCATCCAGTAACTAGGATTGTATATCGTCGCACAGGCACAGAAGAGGAGCTGTATTTTTTTAGTAGTAACAAGTTCTGAAAGCGAGGAGGTACCAGAAACTGAATTAAGTAGTAAGTTCTGGCAGCCAAGAGTCGAGTCACCTTGCAGAGTACTACCAGACGATTAGTAAAAAAACGCAAACAAGGGTCTTCCAAATCTGAAATCTCTGAGACGGAATTTCTATAGAAGCACCAAGAACTCGTACTCATGATCGCAAAACGAACACGATAACGACAAGAAAGAGTCGAGTTTGCAAAAAGGGAAAAGTGTCGGCGTCTACACCGCACGCCAAAACGAAAGTCGTGGTCGCCTGACCAGCTGTCATTTGTGATTAACGCATGTAAACGATTGCATCTGTTTTGTCGTTACTGAAAACAATGATTTTTGTGATGTAAAGATAGAGTAAGTCAAGAAAACGTAGACGGTTTATGTCTTTTGCACATGCTGATAAACCACTAGCATTGTCAGCATGTGCAGCTGCAGTCGTGGTCGCCTGATCAACTGAATACTAGAGATTTTTGGAGAGAAGATAGCAGACCCGAATTTTACTGGAGATTCCTAGAAAAAGTAAGTACAAATAGGAAGAACTCCCAGCACAACTCCTAGTAGAGCAACGATTTTTTTCCTAGGAAATAAAAGAAGAACTCCGAGCACAACTCCACCTAGTACAGCAACGACATTTGAGGGTCAGAAAAAGATGGATCCATCGTCAGGAGGTGCGACCACAAACTTTCACCATCAACGGGACCGTCAACGTTGGCTGATGGAAGCCCGTAAGTCGCCTTTTCAGCCGATTTTTTTGCGACACCAGATGCGGACCAGCGTTCACGAACTCGGTGCTACACTTAAGGTGGTGACGTCAACTTCCATTCTCCATTCTCTCCACTGCCATTCTTGGGAAAGCCAGTTTCTACTAGTACATCAGTTTGTTACCATTTATTTCTAGAAGTGGACAAAAAGTCAAGGATGTTGTTCATTCTCATTCTCAGGAATGTAAAAAGTAATTCACCCGCAACGTGCTCTAATACACCGAAGGCACCAGCTAGTGGCATCTCTGGTGTAACGAACGCAACAGGACAGTTTGAATCTTCGCTACAACAATCTGAATCGTCGTCGAAGAGGCAAAAAATGGATTTACGTGACACATTATGAAACGAAAAAGTGTACTCATCCTCGATAAAGCAGGCTTCTTTTCGTGACAGTATCATGAGTACACAATTGAGTCCTGTCATACAAATTCGATCGAGCAGCTACGTGGATGGGACCTGCATCGAGTCAGCTGCAGCGTGCGGCTAGTTCGCGTCTCTTGCGTGTTGCAGGTGCACCGCAACACGATTCTTCAGCCACTTACGAAAGATTTGTTGAGAAAATGAGTTACAATTAGAAGATTCAAAATTTTCTGTACTCAGCTTTCATTCGAGATAATGAAGCAAGCATTCCTCGTCTTCACTCAATGATGAGAATGGTTTTCTAAGTTTTTGGTGATGTTTCTTTTTTGGAATTTCTAAGACTTTGGTGGTCTGATTGGCAAAGAGCTTTTTCCGCATGCTGTTCCAGTCACACCTCGCGAAAACACCAACGACAAAGGCACTCTCGCTTCTGGGAGAGCCACATTCACATTATGCAATATGGTAACCCAGAGATGGAGTTGTCACGGAGGTGATGTAGTTGATCTGTGATATGATTTCCCGGGAGTAGCTAGTAGGAAGGGTTATCTTCACTCAATTTCTCTTAGTTGTATCTCTAGAAATTTCCCTGATATCTGAAGCTTCTAAGCACAGCTGGTTCCAGTAAAAGCAGCCCATTCTTAGGCGGTTCAGCGACTCGCTCCAACACGACGAACGGTTTTTCGGTGACAAGTTTCAGCCTGTTCAAGTTTCTAAAATCTGCTGTCATGGGAGAAGAAAAGTACCTTTAGACATTCATATCAGCAGTCAAGCTCAAGGATCACAAGGAATCAATTTGACACATCAACATATTCAAACATGTCGTATGAACAACAACAAATACAAATACAAATATATGTTGTATATATGACGCAACAACAACATCAAAAAAAAAAGGCGTCAATCTCCTGAACGCAAACGAAAGTCACTGAGTATTTCGCCACACCGGAAGTCGCCTGTGCGCAAACGAACGAGTCACGAAGCTACGTGCTACATGACGCCGCCACCGAAGACACAACAGAGTGAGGAGCGCATGGTATGCTTTTTTGGGATTCTCTTAATGTTTTTGGTATCTATTCATCCCTCGTTAAGTTGTATCTCGTGGCTTTTTCTGCTATGTCACCTGGCAATAGTATGTTGAGTTTGCCCATTTCATGTGCTGTTACCTAGTCAAAGGTTTACCACCTCGAGTTTCCTCAAGCCCGAAGCCCTAATTCCTATAATAGTAGTACTTTCACGGACTTCACCCGTCCTATAAAACAAAGGTAAAGTCGACGTCTCAGAGCGTGCCCTTTAGCTACGTTACGGAGACTCCTCCCGTGGTTCCCCGATTCTTGTATGACGCGCAGTCGGGGACGATAGTTGAGGATTACTCTTCCGTTGGACCCTATCCCGATGCAGCTGAACACGGTGGTCGCGCTAGTCACCTCAACAGCAAAAATCTGGCGGCTTTAAGGCTCGATTGTTGAAACTAATGAGTTTGAGTTTAGTCAGTGAGTTCGAGTACTAATGAACTAAACCCTAAGCACTAGGCTTAGGTTCGATCGTTGAAACTAACTAATTAGTCAGGCACTAGATAGCTCATCGCCACTGTGTGTCCCAGTAGATCGTTAATTTAGTCAGTCACTAGATAGATAGGTGAATGAGTTGTTTTTTTTTTTTGAATTTACAAAGAGAACCTGAGCGCAACAAGCATGAACATTCCTCCTTCGGGAACGCCTCTAACAACGTCTACTGCTGCGACTCACCACGCCAACCTGACCGCAAACACTTTGGTGTCCACCTCTTCGACTGCTCTATCGGAAAAGAGAATGGAGACCGCCGATTCCCCTGTTGCTCTCGTACCCAATGGTGCTGCTCGAGGACGTAGTAATCCTTACTTGACGAGGAGCCTTCACAGCGGAAATGGCGGCTCGATGCAGCAACAAGCCCCAGGTTCATCTACTAGTATTAAGGGTAGGTTAAAGGTGCTTTTCTTACCGCTTTTTATGCTTCTCCTAAGGGAGAAGGGCATAGCAAGCGGGGTAAGCGAGCACCAAAAGCCTACCTCTAATAGTACTTCTAACCCTGTGCCATCTAACCCTGTGCCATCAAATAGTGCGGATGGAAATTCCCGAGAGCAGAGTGCTCCATTTAATTGGACACCGGATTCTAAGAGTTCTAGTAATGCGAGCAATACCAGTAGCACAAAGGCCTCGTCGAACAACATCTCATCCATTGTTAAGGCTATTATTTCCAATAGTTAAATTATCCATCTCTGTAACTGTATAATCATTCAATCTCAACATAGTTCGTTGTAATCATAATAGATACAATTGTCGTGTCCTCAAGGATGGTTCGTTGTAATCCTCAATGTAATATAATCATTCAATCTCATCTATGGGGTTGGATCCTTGTATCTGTAGCAGATTTAGATTATTCTTTTATGGGACCGCTCCCTCTTCTAGTATATTCAAGAAGCTAATTCATCGTTATGGGGTGGATTCTGCTACTCATAGCATATTCTTTCAAGGGGAACGAAAACTAGGACTGACTACTTATTCCACACCAGGGATCGATTACGTATTGGTTGCTAGAGCCCCTCTCCTTAATATTAAAGTTTGATGTGAACTAATATTTATTGATGTGGTCGTTTATAAATACGCTAAAGAGCAGCAGGTGGAAGGGGTTAAGGTTAACTGCTACAACTACTACTAGCGCTAAATCTACTAGCAACAACGCGAACGTGGTGTCTGACGCGAATAAAAACCTCTTGCGAACTCCTGACCAGAACAGGGGATTTTTGAATTCCGCAACTGGTACTGTATCAACTCTGAAGGCGAAGATTGGCAAGAGCCCTCAACAGACTGCGTCGTTGCGTAAATTATGGGTGTAGCTGTAGAGAATTCATCCCCAATGTCGTCTGGAAGGAAAAGACAAGAAGAAAACGCGACCCAGATGATTCCTGGGATGGATTTCTGATGCCTCTAAGTAAAGCCCAAGCACTAGCGAACGAGGTCAGACTGGACACGATAGCAGAAGAGGCGGTGAAGAACATATCAGGCCAGTTCGGTCGTGCACGCCCATCGCAGAAGCGACGATCGAAACGACAACCGCTTGCGGACAAAACGAACACAGAACAAGCAGATGGGCTGCTGGGAGGAGGTAAGTACTTAATAAATTTCGTACCCTCATAAAACAACCGGTTAGTTTTTACCTCTAGAGATCTAGCCCTTTCAACAATACACTTATGGAGTGCCCATAGCTTTGCTTTTTACTCATGGACAGACGAGTTTGAATTTCTTCAAAAATAAATTATTACTCCTCACTCTATCAAAATACACAGGAAAAAAAGCGCTGACCACTGGCAAGGACTACAATCAAGGACCGCTAAGCCTGACCGGATCATCTGCAACGTCCATTGCTATCATTCTGGATTGGGATGATACACTTTTTCCAACGACCATGCTCAAAATGCTAGTGCCGCAACAGTATGTGAGCACGCCGGACGGCGTAAGACGCACACCAAGGAATGCTGAGTTCGATGCTTAAGGCTCCTGCACTGGGTATATTTCATTTCCAGAGGTTCTTTAATCAGGTCACCCATCATCCTCGGAGTCGAGTAGGTGCCGCCGGAGCTCGATGTGCAGGATCCATAGCTTATAGCCTTCTTTCTCTTTGTTTCCTTTTTTGGAGTCCTTCGGAGAAAATGATAAAGAGCCCAATTAAGTATGTGAAATAATGAAGTATTTTTGTGAGCCCTCCTAAGATGCCTACTGCCGCTATACTTTGGGCCCCATGGTAGAACAGCTGTTGGAGAAGCTGATAGCTTTTGGAAGTTCAGTGCATTTATCGATCATCACGAACGCAATGCCGGATTGGATTCAAGCGTGCTGCGAACGCTACTACCCCAAGGCCGTTCGTGATCTTCTTGCTGGCGATAAGATTGACGTCTTGTCTGCGAGAGAGAAATTCTTCACACTGAAGGTAGTATTATCTTAAATTTGTATTATTCATAAGCAAAGATGATAAACCTAGTGGTAATTTTTCGACGGTTATAGCATGATTAAATTGGAACATTTCGTATTAAGAAGGATGTTGGATGGCATGGATGATGGTACTATGGAAGGGTGTTGGATGTTAAATGACTGTAGATCAGTATTCCATTTGATTATATGGAACGATGAGACAGAAGCAAGTTACAGGACTACATCTGGACTTCTCTCACAACCGTTCTGAGATTAAGTCTCTTGATTATTATGATCATTTCTGACCCATCTGGATGTCTCTCACAACCGTTCTGAGATTATGTGTCTTGATTATTATGTATTTCTCTCACAACCGTTCTGAGATTATGATCTTCATTTCTGACCCCACACCGACAGTCTCAGAACGGTTCTGGTAACGGGGGTATGGATGCGGCGGATCCGTTAAAGTGGAAGGTTTTTACCTTTGCTGGTTGGCTGGGACAGGGATTGAGGAACAACAGCATCGACAGCAACTACCACTTAATCGTCGCAGGTGACTCTCCTACTGACATTTCTGCGGGACACGCTATGAAATCCTTGCCGAGTTGCGCGCCGAGCTACGTTACTTCGGTACAACTGTTGAAGAGCTGTAGTCTCTGTTGAAGAGCTGTAGTAGCCTCTGTTGGTCTGTAGTCTCTGTTGTTGAAGAGTTGCTTGATGTCGTGGTGTTGAAGAGTTGCTTGATGTCGTGGTTTGTCAGTGTCTGTTGTTGTACAGAACAACGTGGTCTGTAATTGACAGACAAGTTAGTTGGAACGCTCATTGCTTGCACATTGGGTTTTGTTAGGCAGACGATGAATCTTTTTCCATTCGGGGTCCTGATTGTCCATATGGAATGTTCCTATTCAACATTGACAATCCTGATTGTCCATATGGAATGTTCCTATTCAACAGATTCACTTCGTTCCTCGACCGTCGACACGCATGTTAGCGACAGAATTGATCCGATTTGCCGCTGATTTTGGCATCTATCTGAGCCTCAAGTGCGGCTTGGGCTTCGGTTTTCACTTGCTCCACGAAGACTGCGCTCTGCAGAATCGTCGCGTCGCGGACCATTATGGAGGACCCATTAGTACTTTGAATAATGATTTAGTCTCTGATGTATTGATAACTAGTGTGATTACATTCAGACTTTGTCTCTACTCGGAGATGAAAGGGCGGTGGCATATAGTCCTAACGCAAAAAAAATGTAAAAATCTACGGGTGTTAGGAATGACACTAACAGGGGGCATACACATGACATGACATGACATGACAAAGGAGTGCTTCTTGCAAGCGGACCTCTAAGATCTGCAGCGCCTATTCGCACCTGACGTTGCTAAGTTGCCACTGTTGACCGATGACTTTGGCCGCGTCTTTGAAGAACAACAGGGAGTGGCGCCAGATGAGGTAAAAAGCGGATAATCTTTGCTCCTTCTATTTCGCTTGGTAACAAGTAGGTCGTGACTTTCGTATTCGTGTTGAAGGTCTGAAAGACGTTCAGGTCTACTCCTAGAGTTAGTATTAGAATTTAGTATAAACACCTCCACACTCTTAGGCTTATCCCATGCAACAGTATAAACAAAAATCCACTCCACCTAAGTACTTCCACCTAAACAAAAATCTTTTTCCCTAGGCTGATGCTCTAGTGACAACCGCCGAGCTTGGACAGCGTGTGATGGGCAGATTTGCGGAGGTGGAACCTATTCCCAAATTCCAGAATGACGATACGATGCGACACGCGGAAGGCGGAAAGCCACATGCATTTCTGTATCTTGTTTAAGGCAGAACTTCATCATTGTCATTCGAGAGTAATAATAATAAAATAATAAGAACTCTACTGGAGGAGCTACTGGGGCTAGCTTTAACCACGTAGTCTGTCTACAACTACATAGAATGAATGAATAGTCTGTCTACAGCTACTCGTAGCTGCTACGTGGTTCGAATGAATGAATGAATGAATGAATGAATGAATGAATGAATAGAATAAGCACTCTGGAGCTAGCTTTGGCTAGATAGTCTGTCTATATTAAGTACATTTCTATAAGAAGTTTAGACTTTGCGATTAAGGTCGAGTCTCTTTCAACCTCAAAGCTCTAATTTCCCCAGACGGAAGAGGCAGCTTATGCGGAATGCATTGAAACGATCATATTGTCGAGACAACATCTCCAGCGACAGCTAAACGCGAAGGCTAACGCGTGACCAACATCACCGTTATAGTTAAGGCTGTAGCTAATCCATCTTTGGGGGAGTATCCTTGAAACGTATTGGGGAGTATCACAAGGGAATGCTCCCCCATACTTTTCAAGGATACGCTTGAGAGATAAATTGCGGACAGTTCTAAGGTTGTAGAGAAGAAGACTATTATGATATCGAAGCACCTTTTCAAACAAAGTAGGTTCCGAGATCCCTTGCCGCAATGAGGAAGCCTCGACTTCGTTTCTGTTGTGGCGACAGGTAGGAAGATGGGAGATTGGGAGATGGAGTCACTAGAAGTTACAACATCACTGGAACTAGGAGTCATCAGAAGTAGATGAGTTGCGGGAAGAGGGGAGCTAGCAGTTGTGGGCAGCTGTTGTACACTGTAAAACAAAGTAGAAGTAGATCTTGCATCCGCTTACCATCTTGTTGGAAGCGAATAGGATGTCCTCTCTGGTTGGAGCTCTGAACTATCTTTTTCGACCGAAAGCTGGCAACTTTTATTCCAAGAAATCGCAATGAAGAAACCTCAATTGGCCACACAGACACCTATAATAAGTATCTGTGGAGAATATCAAGAACAAAGAAACGTTAAGTCGTCACATAGTACCAGCATTTTGATGAAAAACTGTACACCAAAAATTTTGGTTGATATTTTCCTCACGACATATTAAGCGCGAAAATGAATGCCACTAAAGAACACACACGAATTCCTACATTTTTCAAGTTTTTGCTGAGCTTATTTCAGGGAAGAAGAATTTCACGATGCTCCTAGTCTTAGTTTTACCGTTCAGTTTGAATTTCAACATGATCGATTCTTGTATACAACAAGTATTATCAATAGTATTCCCAGTAGATAAGTAATGATTTCTAATCTTAAGTCATTTTTGCTCTCCAACATCAACACATGGACCTACTACTACGATTTTTGTTTACGAGGTATTTTCCAAGCACCTCGTAATTTTGTACAGAAGATGATGTAGCAACTGCACAGAAGATGAGCGAGGTAACAACTTTTGCACATTCATAAGCTAGAAGAAAGAGAGTACTAGAAATAGCAGCATCAGTATCAGGAAATCTGGCTCGATCTTCGAAAAAATGTTTTATATGCTCACGATGGATGATGTCGATGCTGGATAGCTATCTATATGGGGTAAATTTTGAGTTTGTATTATTGTAGTGAGTCTATTTTTGTACAACTATATGACAATTCTTAGGGCGATCCTCGTATGAGTATGGGAGAAAAGCAAAGGATGATGCAATCAAATATTCCTCACAACTACCTATGTTGACAAGTTATTTAGAAGAATTCCAATGTATGATCAACTCAAACAAAAGTAAGCTAAGTTTGGTGGTACTGAAATTCTGTTTCTTTTTTGAATCTTGAACTTGTTTTTGTTTATTTGATTCTCACTCGCGTAGGCCCGACTGCTGTGGCACGTCCTTAAGATGCTCGCCGCAACATGCGACGGTAGTAACGGTGGCAAGCAGTAGTTGTTCGTAAGAAGACACATCGATCTGGAATCTCTGTAGTCCTTCTACGGCTGCGAAAATCTGCTGGAGTATGCAGGTAAAACTGTGGACGGCAGATCCCATCCTAATCCTAATCCTAAGAAGACATCGATCTTTTGTGGCGCTAGAAATGGATCATACATTTGAATGTACGGCACTGAGGACGCGGAACCAAAGGATCTCACTTTACATTATTACATTCTGAGAGCTTGTCTTTCACCGACATGGTGCAGCGAGGACGACGACTCAGTAATACTTTTTATTAACTAGTTGTACGTGAACGTGCTTGGCTGCGTTCGTAGGCAAAAACGTAACATGAGGTGTCATGACATGACATTGGCTGGCGCGTGAGTCTCGAATTTCGATTTCCTTACGTAGATGCCAAAGCGCGTTGTTTGTCCTGCTTGTTTGTGTTGAAGATTTTTGTAGAGTGATCGATTGTAGAATAGCTCCATGAACTATCTGCTACATTTTTAGATGGCGCCCAAGAACCCAGGCTAGTCTAGAAACTTCTAATCCATTCGTCTCAACATTCAAAAGAATGAATTTTCTGTTGGATTCGTTTGCCTTACTGCCGGAGCTGACCCGGATACCACCTTCCACTGGGAATGGTGTCGCAGCTTCTGCATCCTGCAGCCTTGCTGGCCGTAGGGCATTGGTAGTCGGCGGAACGAAGGGGATTGGACGCGGGACTGCTATATTAAGGCTCAACGTAATAGATAATTCTAAGTATCAATCTCACGGACTTCTTGAAGTCGACCTTTCATTTACACTCTTTTAATGACAGATGGTAAGGGCGCTCGCGAGCGCGTCACGTGTGAGACAGAAGGGTCGCGCGGGAACATAATAATGATATTAATGATAATTAATGAAGTTGCCATTTCTAGTATAGGTCATTTGCCTTTGTTTGCGTCTTTGAATCAGTTTATTATGAGACAGTGACAGTGACCTTATAAGATATGAACCTCCTATTGATTGTGAGCAGATCTAAGCATAGCTCTCGCGGAAAGCGGGTGCGCTACTGTCGATGTCGTAGGCCGAGATCGCATCGCTGGAGCTAGCGTAGTGCAAGCTATCGAAGCTGTAGCTAGAGGCTCGGGGGACAGACAAGATGTTGTTGGCCAATCTAATAGTACTAGTGCGTCATCTTCGTCTACTGCAACTGCGTCATCTCCTGGAGTCCAAGTAAGATTAAGGCTTGCGGAAATCCATCTTCCCAATCATCTTTGTCCCGTTTCTAAAGGGAAACGGGTACTATGGAGATGCTTTAAAAGGTATGGAGATTTCTGCAAGTTCCAATATGAGCACAGTTTTTGTCCGCGGATTTGTCGTCTGTGAAGGGGTGTAGAAATTTTGTTTCGCAGCTCAGTGCGTCAGGGGAGCCGTCCTATGACATCCTAGTCTTCACGGTTGGCGCGTGGCCAGACTTCAAGAACCCACTCACGAGCGACGGTTTTAATCGCGTGCTTTTTCTGGACGTTTTCTCGCGATATCTCTTGATACAAGGCCTGCTCAGTGCGCGAAGCGACATTATGGCAACAACATCACTATTGTAGTATAAACAACATCATCTTTGTTGCCTTGTAAGTGCTCAGGAGTCTCAGTCTCAGAATCAGATAATAAATGTAGTAAATCCAGGACAAGTGAAGAATACAGGTGAGGAATTTTAGAACTTCTAGACTCAAAGGATGAACTTGGTTGGATCCGTCTCTGGATAGGTGATATGTACTGCTAACGACAGCGCATCCTTAGTGATGTCCGTCCTGGCGTCAGGGCAAAAGCTTTCAGCTGGAGGCCAATCCAAAGAAGAGCGGCAAGCGTTTTTAGAGGAGAAGGTAGTTTCGAAGTGCCTAGCTTTATTGTAATTCTTTTTGTTGGTCAGGTTCACCACTGGCGGTTGGCTCGTCTCTTTCTCTCAGCAAGGAGAGGCAAAAGGGCTCGGCCGCAGATTTCCTAGCCGCGTATGGGATTGCCGCCCCTTGACGAGACCGAAAAAGGGGCGGCAACGATTTCGAGGGGGCACGGAAATGGGGGCGGGGCTTAGTGGGCACAGCCTTGAAGCAGAGGAAGCCCTTGGAAAGCTGTAGGCGCTACAACTCAGGGTCGCGCTTCGGGCGTAAGGGGTGCGAGGACTAACATTGCCGGTCGACGCTGCGGCCTGTTATAAGACGCCGGCGGTCCAAGTTCGAACGGATGGGCGCACTCTCAGGGTGAGGCAGTGCCCTCTCATCTCAGGGTGTGGCGATTTGCGTGCGATGCGTGTCGTCTCTCGTGGTTCTCTTGCTGGTGCGCTTACTCAAGTAGCCGACAGCCCGAAACCAAAGCCCAGGGGACTGCTGTAGACTGAGCGAAGCCTGGGCAGTGCATGAGGGACATTGGTGAGGGTGTGGGGCTGCTGCTAATGGAAGGCATTGCCGTGAAAAACTAGCAGACAGCTAACCAAATGGACGCGCTGCAAATGGGACGCAACGAGGCGCATTTCTCTGATGGCACAAGCTGGCGCCCGCCGCTTCCGACAACAAGAGCCCTCCGCACGCCGAGAGCCTAAGCAAAGTGGGGCGCCTTTTTTGCGTCGAGTCCGGAAACACATCTCGAGCAACTTCGCAGGCCGTGGTTGTCTGATCTCCCGGGATAAACATAAGCGAGAACTTCGCAAAAGGAGGGAGCGGGGCAGCGTGGGGAACAGCACAGGGGTGGGGACGATGGTGGCCGGTAGGAGTACCAGGCAACAGCAGGGGGAGACTCGTAAGCGAAAGCGGGCGCGACATGGGTCCGCTCTTTTCTCTCGTCTCCTTAGTATGCATTGGATGAATATGGAAAGTAAGGGCGCTTTGTCTTGTGTGGGTGAGGAAGTAGTATAGTGGCTGTTTCTCTCCTTAGGTTCTTTCGCGCCACATCACTCCGGAAGCGCGTGCCGCGTACCGCGAGAACACAGTCTTTATGAAGACGCTTGGTTGTGCCGGTTGCGCGCATGACCACATGTTAGCGGCGCTCGCGGAAAAGCATAAACAAGTGAAGTTTGTCGGAACCTTTCCCGGTCTAGTCGAAACCGAGGTTATGTTCAGCACCCTGGGCGATAATATCTTCTCTCGAGGCCTCAACTTCCTGGGCCGCGCTGTTCCCGCAGCATCCGGAATGCAGACCATAGAGGAATGCGGCAGAGCGCATGTCGACGTCATCAAACATCAACTATCCAACCTGCAGACCCCTTCTACTTCTATTATGATTCGCTCTTAATTCTTCGTCTCTGTTCTCGGCATGATCTTGATAGTTAGACTTTTCCCATGAAGTATTTTTACCAAGTAAATCGTTTTCCTCCCATAGACAAAACGAATACAGGGGAAAACGTACTACCAAGATGAGGGGGCCGAGTTGAATTGCAGCACACTCTAATAGTAGCACTACTTCGACAGAACAACCTCCAAAGAACCTATCATTCTGGAGCGCGGTCCACCGGTCGCAACGACAACTCCCGGATTTTTTTGGACTGCAATCATGGTTTTTGGAGAAGCTGGATAGTTCGCTGTCCTCAGTCGGGGCAGAGTGACGTTCGTGCCACCTGCATTTGTAGTACTTCTTAGATAGAGCAGGCACATCTTTTGAGGCAGGAGAACAGGGATCCTATTGGGCAGAACAGGCCGGGAACTTGCTGGGGTCCGTCCATTCCTTTTCTTCGTGTGAATCTACTTACTCGACCAAAGAGACATCACTTCTAGGAACTCGTCATGATTACGTCGCACATGATGGATGGCGCTTGCTTCCAAGAGGCTAACGAAGTAGATACTCGAAAAGACGACGCATGGTAACAAACTATACAAGACGCGCTTTTCTCGCTTTATTTCAAAAGACTCTACTAAGGTATTGGAGACGAGACTCCAAAAAGCAAATCATCTGAAACCGAAGTTCTTCACAATACGCAAGCGTGAGGATTAGTTCTTGCGATCTGTCACAGAAGCTAAGAAAAAAGTTCGACAAAGTTCTGATATTGAGATCCGAAACGACGTCCAAGACACAAAATTGCTTGGCTGGACCTGAGTTCTTGTCTCTAAAGAAAAGAAGAAGAAAACTATAAATTTGCCTATCTTCCATGTGCTCATACTGTATAGATTCATTTAGAAGATAATGTCACCAATATAGTAGTTGTGAGTCATCTGAGTACTTAGAAGAAGTCGCCTAAACCTATATATAAGTCTCTGATCTCGAATGCCATCAGGCCATTGAAGACATTGTTTTTGTGCAGAATATATTTATAAGTAGTTTCCATTTTCTTTGCAGGAGCGTGTATCATTTTGGCACGCTTGACAGGGCCATCCTTGATGTTGAGTAGTAATGTATGTACTTAGTTGTTTTACGCACTTACAGAAATGAGATGAGTGTGTTTATGTACAACATGTAGGAGAATGTCCCATTTTTAGCATCCGTTAGTGGACTGACACGAAAAAAAGATGCTCTCTTCATCGACCACTGAGCAGTGCTCTTTGACTCTGGTAGAGTCAGAGGACCTACGTGGAGCGGATAAGTGGATGGGCGGCGCCCTAGATCCAGAAACCGGAACCATCTACGGTATTCCCGGATCTGCCACTCACGTTCTCAGGATATCGTCATCTTCGTTCTTAGGATACGTCAAGTGCGAATCGGCTCACCACGACACAGATGCAGGCACTCCGCTAAACCATGCTGCGTTGTTGGTTAGACATCCACTCAGGGGACCGGGACGCAAGGAATACTACTCTGAGGCGGCATGCCGGAAAATAGAAGCGCGAAGGGCGAATGAAAGGAAAACCAAAGGAAGCACTTCTGCAATAGCCAACAAGAGCGGAACAAGCACCCCTACAACTGTAGAAACGTTCCCTACGAACCTACACCTCGAAACGTGCACTCCACCTGCTAGCACTGCGGTTGTAGCGTCACCTACGAAACAAGTCAGCGCAGTGGATCCACCTCCCTCTCCTCGCAGTGAAAATAGCACTGTAGCTTCTGTGGGTGACGAAGACGCTGGTGGAAACAGTAAAAGCAGCTCGCCGAACACTGCTGCTGGAGAGAGGACAAGAGCATCGATGGAATTCAGCGACGATGTCGAAGAACGAAGTAAGAGGAGCAAAACTGAGCCTGTTATTGTTTCCTCTGCCATTCCTGGGAACAGGTTTAAATGGCTTAGAGGCGTTTACTCACCAACGGACCGCAGCATTTATGGCGTACCCTGCAACGCTCGCGAGGTCTTACGGATTTGCTGTGACACAGACCGGGTCGAAGCACTTCATATTTGTTCTACCAAAGGGGAACGGACATCTTCTGCGAAATCGACATCAAAGTCACATAGTACGTGGCAGTGGCATGGAGGCTGTTTTCTCGACACTTCTAGGACGATTCTCGCTGTTCCCTGTAATGCGTCGCGCGTGCTTCAGATTGCGCCGGGAGGTGAGCAAGCATCCGCTCAAGTCTGTGGACCTGACATAGATGCGATGATCCGAGCCGCTCTAGATCCAGAGACAACGTCATCCGCCACCTCCGCGACAGGTCAAGATGAAGCAAAAACGATAGCTACAACTTGCTTATCGCCAGAAGTACTGCTGACCCGAAACAAGTACTATGGCGGACTCGTTTCGCCTAAAAACGGGGCGTTTTACTGCATTCCCTTCAACGCGCCGCGTGCTCTCAGAGTAGATGCTGAGCGTCACGACGGGGTAGAAAATATTTCTGCGCGCCTGATAGGGAACAGGAACTTGCTAGATTTGCATAAATGGCATGGCGGTGTCTTGTGCGGTGAAGGAGACATCTACGCAGTTCCTAGTCATGCTAATACGGTGCTATGCATCGAAGTCGCTAAGTCTGAAGAGGAAGAAGATGCAGTGCTCGAAATCGCTATTGAAGGAGGCACTTTTGAGGAAGCAAGTGCAAGTGCTGGATCTAGTACTGAGGCTGTAAGTGTAGCAGAAGTGGATGCAAGCGACCACTTTCCTCTTCAGAAGCCAAGTCGCAGGAAGCAGACTTACAAATACGGTGGTGGTGTACTTGGCGCCGATGGTTTTATCTACTGTATTCCATCCGACGCAGACCGAGTCCTCCAGATCGATCCCCTTCAAAAGAAGGCCAAACTCATCGGTCCTCAACTGTTGCCTGGTGTAAAGAACCGGTGGCAGAATGGCTTTCTGGGGTCTGACAATTGCATCTACTGCATCCCGTGTGATGCAGATTGTGTGCTGAAAATCGACACAGCAAGACGGCAGGAGCAGGACGACACAGCTGTTGAAAACACAGCTGGCGAAAACACAGCTGGCGAAAACACAGCTGTTGAAAGCACAGCTGTTGAAAACACAGCTGTTGAAAACCGGCAGGACAATCATGCTGTCCAAGATGCCACTACTACTAGGGCATCGGACCAGATCTCGCTTTTACCGCTTTCGGGCAGCTTGTTAACGAAGAAAGAAGCACAGCAGAAAGAGAAGTGGGAAGGGGGGACAGTAGGTCTTGATGGCGCTATGTATTGTTTGCCACAGCAATCGAAAAAAGTACTCAGAATTGCACCCACTTGTGCCAGTTTGAAAGAACCGAGGACATCACAGAAATGATCTTTACTCCTTCCACCTCTCCCTTAATATTATTGCCTCTCCTGAGAGTGAGAAGTTTCAAATATGTTCGTCACTAAGAAGATGACCTTCTCGTGGAGAACAGCCCGTCGTCCGACGCCGCGCCTGAAAATGATAACCTCAAAATCGGTGCCATATGAAATCAAAATTGATCTCTCGTACTAATGGACAAGTACTATGATGACGACGATCAAGATTTTAGTATCAAAAATGTTACTATCAAAACTGTCAGTATCAAAGATGTCAGTATCAAAAATGTCAGTATCAAAAATGTTAGCCTCAGTGACCGCTGTAGGGTGATCATGAATCTTGATGAAACAGAATGATCTCCTTGATAGTCGTCCGATGTATCTTCCTGTTCTGAAAAGAAAGATACAAAGATCCGTGGCTGCGGCTTGCAGTTTTTATCGCGCGGAAGAGTAATGTTGAGGCAGAAGTCTTATGACCTTTTTGAACGGAGGACATCAGTCACAGTCATTGAACTACTACTTTCCTCTGAATAAACATGATCACCCGCGTGAGATCACAGATGGCGGTCTTGTGAAAACGAAGATCAACACAAAAGAGATCGTCGAGAACGAGATCACTCAGAGAGGGCTGGAAGAAGGGATCTCCATCCTGAGCAAAACAGTTTACTATAACTTCAAGAAGTATCTGGCAAACTCCTCTTGTCTAACTCACAACTTCAACAGTCCAACACATTCAACTCGCGCTAGAACTTAGTTCATCACTCTAAAACTCTAAAACCTTCTGCCAACAACTCTGGCGTTTGCTAAGAAAAACATCGCGATACGCATCAAAATTTTCATCTTCCAAGATCTTCCTGCTAACTAAACAAAGGACTCTTCGTGCGTGGCTAGTAAGTCCTAACGAGAAAAGAAAAATGTCGGCCAACAACATGAACTCCTCCTCTGTCTCGACTGAGGTCGCTGCCTCTGAGGTGGTCACCGCGGCTTCGACCATGGTCACTGTGGCTTCGACCATTGAGTTTTCCGCTAATCCTGGCAAAATCAACGACGCAGCTGGCTTTATGACTGTTGCCCGTGACGCTGTAAAGCAGACTGAACCCGGAACCAAATTGTGGCTTGGCCTGAAGCATTTTCCGGTTAAGGAACTCGGTCAAGAGCTCACTCCCGAAGAGAACAATGACAAGTTTGGCATCATTGATTTTTTCGTAAATGATGAAGCGAAAGCAGCCCACTTCGGTGGTGAAGTTCCGAAAGCCGTGAAAGCTAACGACGAGACTGAAGAACCGATTGTGAAGGGTGGTCTGAGCGCCATTGTAGCTTCTGCTAAGGGCTGGAAACTACTTGCTGCTCCGAAAAACGAACAGGAAAAGCTTGAGAAAGTTCAATTCGTGTCTTACATCCCCTTCAAAGCTGGCTCCGCAGACCAAGTCGAAAATGTGAAGGGACTCTTACTTGCTGGCCTCAGCCTCGTTCAAGAGCATGAATCCGGTACTCCGTTTTGGGCAGCCGTCCAAAATCAGGAAAATCCAGAAGAGTTTGCGATTTTAGACGCCTTTGATGACATTGAAGCGGTAAAGGCGCACTTCCTGGAGCCAGCTAAAGTGCCAACTGCGGTTCAAGGGGCCTTGAAGGAAAGCCCGGAATTGATCAAGGATGGATGGGAAAAGGGCGTTGTGGCGAACATTCGCGTGTTTCGAGTATTGGCGGTGAACGCGGAGTTGTGAATGTGAGCAGTACCAAAGAGAGTACTTACAGTACCAAAGAGAGTACTTACTTATAATCAAAAGTGATGTAGTGCTTGTACTAATTTCTTGTTGAAGTTAAAAGTTGAAAGAAGATGCAGAAGCAAGTTACAAGAACGCGGTATAATACAAATACTCAAACAAAGCACTTAAGTCTGAAGATGGTTGCTAACATAACAACTGCGGCCCACTTGAGTTGATCGTATTTGTTCCTCATCTGGAAGTAGAGTAGAATTAGGAGGAGAAACTGCGTAGCATTGTGTTGGTGCGGCCTAATATTTGTTTTGAATCGTTTTGGGAAAAATATTTAGTTTTGGATCGATGAGGGGATGAAGGTACTTTTTGGATAGTAGTAAGTAAGTATGTAGTGAGTGGTCGTAAAAAAGTCGTACAACACGTAATGAAGAAGTGACTAAATCTCTTTACCAAGTGATGTGATCCGATTTTTTCCTAGAGGAAAAGCAAATCAATGTCAAAGTCAAGAGCGAGAATGTACTATATGAGTTCGTGCTAGATCGTTGTACTAGTAGGACCAGAAGAAGAAGAAGTATATCCTATCAAGATATAGAAAGCATCTGAAAAAGCAGCTCCTGCTGGATTTTTGATCGCTCTTGGAATCGATGCTGATAAGGTCCACACTCAAAAAACCTTCGATGTGAAAGTTGTGGAACCCACCAGTATCCAAAAACCTTATATTTGTGGTCATATTTATTGAGGCGTCTACCAGATCTGAAGCTATGGGTCTACACATCATAGGCTGAAAAATTATACGAGGACATGAACCGCAGGAGCGCAGACGAAGAAAGTGTTGAGTATGAAATTAATAAAGTGTTGATAGAACCGCTTAGAGTGGTTACACGAAGCCGCTTAGAGTGGTTTTTACACGAGCATGTTGTCGGAGCGGTTCTTGTATGCTGGACGTACGGGGAGGACAAAAATAAAGGCGTTGATGTGCTAGTGCACTCAAGCCGAGAGAAGCACAGAGAAGACAGGAGTAAAGTAAACTCTCACAGAAAAGACCATTTCAAAAGGAGGACAGCACGTGAGCTGCAAAACAAAAAATGAGCATTAGTACCTATGATGGACACTGAATAACTTGTCCTCGTTTATTCTCCTATTAGCGCCTCCTTGGATTGATTGTGTATGAAACACCGACTAGGTACTTGATGATAGTGATTTTAGAATGGCCCTACAAAAGATGATGTTGTCGCGCAACCTAGAGCACGCGCAAGGTCCTGAGAGTTCGCCTACACGATTACACGCAGCGTAGACGGAAAAAGAATCATGGAGTTCTTTACTAAAACACATGATCATCTTGAACACGACCACGCTTACTAATTTTTCGTATCTTCCCACAACGCCGGGCGCAGTGATTGACATTCTAACCGAACGAGTGGCGCTTCGCATTGTAACCGGACGCTTCGCATTGTAACCAAGAAGTTCGAGAGCAGGAGAGCACTCAGGGAAAGCAGCAGATAACGCCTTCCTACCATCGCGAGAATAGACCAGCACTCAGGAAAAGCAGCAGATAACGCCTTCCTACCATCGCGAGAATAATGGGCGCCGACGACTCTGCTGGTTCTCGCGCCGACAGGATGGAGACGGAGGAGCGTGGAGGAGGGTCTTCGCCTTCAAGGTTCTTCGAGTTTCGACCTAGGGGAGGTCGCATGAACTGGCGCTATCTCCATCAGCTCAGTGTGTCAAACATCAAACGAGCAGGCGACACCGAAACACTGGAGAAAATTAGAGATAGCCTAATGTTCGCCAAAATTAGTATGGCCTTCCGAGTAGAAACAACCGGTTAGTTTTCCATCGTAGTAACCTTAGACTTCCCTTCATGCTGTATTTGTCTAAAACACAGGTGTGAAATTCTTTAGTGTCGAGAAGTTCATTTTTTGAGCAACGATGTAATAGGAGAGAAATAGAGGCTACCCTACTGCTACTCGTGATGGGTGGATACTAGACCTAGGAAGGAAGTAATAGATAAACATGCACCCATAATTAAAGAAGCTATACCCCGCGAATGGGTACATCAATCAATAAATCAGTCAATCAATCAATCAATCTCACCCCATGCCTTTGAGCTCCAAGGAATGGCGATAACTACTTAAAAGAATACTTCTCTTTCATCGTTCCAAGCGATGAATTGGAGGTAGCAAGCAACGTGGAGGTACTGAAGGTGCTGGAGCTGCAACAGCTGGCTATGGAACAACTGTACGTTGAGAACCAGCGTCTGCAGAACAGAGTCCTCGACTACGATTATGACAACACACTTTATAATGGTGTCCTGTGACACACCATCTTTGAGACAACACTAAGTTTCTTGATAGTCTAGGGTCTGCCTGCTTATAAGAGTCTCCTCCTGTGAGTCGAGAGGTTAGTCCGTTGTAGAATTGGAGTACGATTATGACGACGCACTTGAGTCGAGAGGTTGCTGGTTCGTTCTTGAATTGCCTCCCCTTACGATTGCAAGAGGCAAGGCCTTGTTGTGAAGACGCAATTTTATTCCTTCTAAAATTGCGTCGTGCGTGACACCTACAGAATTGTAATCGTTTTTTGTTGCCGCTATGTAACTGCTCAACTAGAACATCTAGTAGTCGTCTAACAAGAAGAAGCGACTACAGTGAAGAATCGGGAGCTCTATGCACTAGAGAAGAGTGCTAGACGGTTGCATAAGGAGCTTCGGGACAAAAAACGGCAGTTAAGCTTATGCGAGAGCTTACTGCAGGAACAACGAGGACTGGAGAAAGCACCTAAAACAGCAAAACAAGCGACCAGCACTGGAAAATTAAGCCTCTAGACAATTCATCTCTCAGTGCATCCCTGAAAAGTGCTTCACTGCAATACCTTCGAAGATGCAGGTTAGAGATGAGTGACGGAGAGGTCTAAGAAAAAGTCCTAGCCTGCGCACGCCTCGCACATCGGGAGTTTTAGTTGGTAAGTCTAAAGCGACCTCAAGCAGCAACCGCGATGCTGGTATCCAGGAGATCCCGGATCAAGAAGAAGCAAGGGAGAAGGGTGAAGCAACAGCGTATTAAGGCACATGATCTATTGTATTGTTCTTCATCACTAAAACGAGACGTTGTTGATAGAGGAATAGCACTCGAGACGCGACGACGATGATGATGATGATGATTCTTATTGAAGTTTCCGTTTCCTGAAACTAAAATCTGAGAGAAAGTCAACATACTCCTTTTACACTTACTGCTTTAGGGTGGAAATCAGTCACCTGGAGCTTCTCTAATCCTATTCCTTCAGCAAAGGAATGACAGAAGCAGAGCCAAAGTCTTCTCCTCATTAAGGCTATTTTTCACTATCTCCTGTGGACTATGTATCCTGCTAAGTGGATTCCCCTTGGGGAAAATAAGGGGAAAATATGGGGGAAAGTTGTAACTTATTCTTAAATCCTTAACCAGGGATCGTGAATGCCAACCTCTAAGCTCAGTTCGTGCGTGGTGGAGCACGGACCTTTTTTCAGTGTCCTTCGTGTCCCAAGAAATTCGAGACCCTAGATTTCCTGGAAAGGCACATAGCACGGCGTCATCCCGGAGAGCGAGCGGGGTTGGGTGACCTGTCACAGTGTCAGGTACTAGCGAATTTCTTTCTTTACCTTTGCAATTCATCTTATAATAGAACAGTTTATGACACGAATGGCGGTTGGCACGGTTGGCACGAATGACACGGTTGGAACAACCCAACGAAGCCAAAAAGTGCCACGAATGGCGCGGTTGGCGTTGGCACAAGCGGACAGGGATAGGGATGCGAAGGGCTGCAATTCTACGGAAAGCCCCCCTGCCATTTTGAAAATGGTAAGGGAGCTAGCCAGGAACGAAGCCGACTTGGCTGCTCTCTTAAAGAGTGCGGACCCTAGTGCGGCTGACCGTCGGAGGGCTGGCCTCTTTCTTGGAACTACCGCGCGGGTCACGCAAATTCTGGTGGACTTGCATGACCCCCGCGGAATTCCACGAGAGGAATGCTGCGACAAGGCGGGCGGTTTAGGGTGCTGGAAGATTGGTCGCAGGGAGGGCACCCGAGTGGGGTTCTGAAAGTATGTGCGCAGCATTCGGAGACAGCGGCAACGCCGCGGGGGAGGTAGCGCCTGAAAGCGCAGGGCGCCCGAAGGGCGCCCCGCTCTCGAAGGTCTGATAGGTCCACGAATGGCACGAATGGCGGAGCACATTGAAGGCCCGTATTGGATGCCTGCCATTCGTTCCAACCGTTCCATTCGTGCCATGCCAACCGGCCCCCAGAAGCCTTATAAGCTGTTCTATTATAATGTAGTACTATAGAAGTTGTAACATATTGTTCAATACTAGAAGGAGCAGTGTGTCCTTTATAGCTTTTTCCTGTGACCAACAGCAACGTGATATCCACCTATGACCAATACCAACACCAACCTAATAGGTCCGCGCCACTGCTTCGGAAACAGGAGGTTTTCGACTTCAATACCTAGCTGATGAAGTTAAGGCTCATGAAGAACTGAAGAAAAACGTAATGGAAGAAGCCAAATCGCTCGTCGAATCCGAGTTACGGAAAATACGTGCCGGCTTAGACGGCGAAGAAGACGGAGTAGATGGCTTTAATCCACGAGGACGAGGGTCGAGTGTTAAGGCTATTCTCTTTGAGGGGATCTTTTTCTCTATGGGGGGATCCCTCTGAAAAGATTCTATCAGGTTGTTTACTAGGAGAATATTCCCCAGGGAGCCCACCACGTCCATATGGGTACAAGGGACATGGGTACAAGGGACTTTCTTGAGGGAAGATTCTGACATACCTACATTCTTCACATTTATATTCTGAAGGGAACAAAAATTTTTACGGAGCACAGCACATACATACATTCTGAAGGGAACAAAACTTTTTACGGGGCACAGCACATACATACATTCTGAAGGGAACAAAAATTTTTACGGGGCACAGCTCTAACTCGTCAAGTACGGAGGATCCAAGTGGCGGAGAGTTTTCAAGTATGGCCGCAAAAATACGAGAAAGCTCAGCCCCAGAAGACGTGGCTTCAGACCTCCTACGCGCACTAAGAGAACGCAAGGGTGGCTCAAAGCAAACCGCCGAAATCGAAAGGAAAGTTGCGGAAGTATTGGCGCAGGAACGAGAAAAGCTGAAAAAGGACTTGAGGGCAGAGATTGCCGCAGCCGGAAGTGCAGGCGACGACGCTGCGGTATTTCTATTTGCTAGCCTGCTAAAGGTAATCGAAAACTCAAAATAAGCGAGTTCTTACTGACTGAAATAAGAGAGTCTTGACTACCTTCCTCTTCTTTCAGGATCTCCCTTATGTTCACTGTAGTTACTCGCGTATTTCAGTTTATCGAAAAGTTGTAGTACAAGAAAGTGCTACTAGTACGACCACAGTTCGACGGATTTACCTTTAGTGCATGACCCTTGCTACGACACGTTTCGGAGGTACATCCGCAAATGAGGAAGCAGTAACCTAGGCGCTAGTAACACTGAAACAGCACCAAAAACAAGTAAAACGCGTTCAACTAGAAAAACAAGAATAAAAGGAGAGCTAAAAAAACAAAGCATAAAAAAGCTTGATCCGATCACTTTTAGACTTGCTTTTCTCTATCATGACTATAGGTTTTACGAGACCGGATACAAAAGCTGGATTCTATGATGGCTGCGACGATCACGGAAAACCAGAGACTTGCGGACACAGTCACACAGCTACAGTCACGCAATGAGATCAACGAAATGCGCCTAGAGGAGATCTCGAAAAGCCCGAATATAACACCGACGCTAGGTAGTAAAAAATGTTTTCCAAGACTGTTAGGAAGTATGAGATATTCATGTTGTTCAATCGAGTTAAATCAAAACATGATATCTTGCTGCACATGAATTTCGTGGGAAGTATTCTTCTTCTTCCATTGGCATGAGTATTATCGATCCTGTCCTCCCTTGCGGTTGCGTTCATTTTTCATTCCTAAATGTAAATTATTTGACATTTCTCTCAGCCCCGCCAACTTCGATTTCGAGTGGTAGTGAAGCGACGCTGCTCACCAGCATTTATCCACAGTTGCAGAAGAGCACAATCTTTCCTCGAGGACTTCTGACGGGGGAAATGAACACAGCAACAGGGGGGCCTTCCGAGATCGCAAGACGCGAAAAGGTTCTCGAAGACATGAGTCTCAATGTTAAGGCTACTGGCAAGAAGAGGAAATTGATTTTCTCCTTGAGAGCATCTTGCTTGGGTTTAGAGAGGGCATTTGACCTAAAGATTTTGCTACTTCTGTTACTTATTGATTACAGCATCTTGGAGCAATTATAGTGCCGCTTCATTCTGAAGGGAAAAAAAGCATCGAGATCGATGCCCTTTATAAGATGTAGTCCTTGATATCTGTGACTTCTAAAGATGCCACGCGTTTGAGCGCCATAGCAGCACGGGAAGAAGAGACAGCCAGGAATCAGGAGTATCAGGCTGCACGACTTGCAGCTGCAAGAGAGCAAAGGCTGAGAGCAGAATTCTTGACAGACCTAGTGGACGACGACGTCGATGCGCAGTATATTCAAGCGCAGCGACGATTCAGCGCGTTTTCTAGTGCAGACCTGGAATCGCCTCTGAAGGCGCAACAGCGGAGTAGGAAGAATTTAGGGTTTAGGGTGTTCTAGTGAAAGTGAAAAGACGAGAAAAGAAAGAGGAGGTGTCTCACGTTACATATTGTCTGACGCTATAGAAAACTTCTGATCGAGGACGTTCTCCAATTACACTTACTTCAAGTACAGGGTTAGTACAGTTGTGCATCTTAATTCATATGGTCTACCGCTATAGGTTCTAATCTTCAGCGCGCTCTACAGCAGTAACGTGAGCGGAGCAGGTGCCGGAGACGGTTCGTCGAAGACGGGCGACAGTTCGTCGACCATCTTCCTGCAGAGAGCTGTTGCGCACCACTCGCCGTCAAGCAGCCGGATATATGCCAATCCTACGCGACAAGGGCAACAACAGCAAATGTTAAGGCTTGCCCTAAACCTAATTGTTCATCTTAAAAAGAAGCATCTTTGATTGACGTCTTTTCAAGGGGAACTGGGTCAAAGATGTACTTGTAGATGAGTTTTGTCGGTAAGGTCTAAAAGTAGTAGGCGACTCTACCACAGCACTTGGCGCTTCTAGTGCGACTCTACTCGAAACGCACAACCACGTCGATCGCACGGTATTAGGGCAACCACCGAGTGCAGATCAGACACCTCAGGGAGTACAACAGGGAGTTGCTGGAGGCGCAGTGACTAATACCAATACTAGGCTCGACGCAACCGAACTTCAAGACGGACTAAACGCGACGGATTTGAATGCCGGCGGATCCTCCTCAAAAGCAATGAATCGTAAGGCGGTAGCTAATTCATCTTTCAACTAGTGCATCCTTGAAACGTTTGGGGGAGTGTCAAAGGGAGACAATCCTTCACACGTTCCATCTTGGATTTGCTGAAAGATCGAGTGCGGAGAGGTCTAAGAGTGCTAGTTTGCTACATAGTTCCTCGTCCATCATAACGAATCCGCGTGCACACAGAGCCTTTTCCGAGAGTGGGGGTTCCGCTTCAACGGACTTTCTCGGGACCATGACCCCTAACGCACAGGGGACTTCTGCGATAATCGGTGGATACCAGAACAACTGCGTTGGTGCTCAGGATCAGTCTTTTTACGGATTCCCTCTAACCTCCGAGAGTCTTGATACCACTAACTTCTATGTCCTCGACAGAAGATTACATTTCCCTGTACCAAGAGGGGCAACTTTGTTCGTCTTTTCTCGAAGACATGACTGTCATCTTCTGCAGAAAGTTTCTTCGTATACATGATTAGTCTACAACTTACTCCCGACCGTCTTTTCTCTTACATTTTAAACAGATCCCAATAATCACATCTTCCTAAGAAGATGTTAATGTTTTTTATTCTCTGTCTTCTAAGATGCGAGCGGTTCGAGTATGAATGGCACACTCCTGCAAACGCAGCTTGCAGATGGAGGGTCATCTCAGGTGACCTTGGGGTACTCGACGCAAACTGTGTTGCCTCGCACGGCATCTTCCGGCTCTTCAGCAGCCAGACAGTATGCACGGATGACTCCAGGAGAAGGCGAGTCGTTTCTAGAAGACGGCACTGTCTTAGGAGCCTCCGTTGTCGCTACAGTACCACCGAAGATTTCTAAGGGGGACGATGCAGAACTCGCCACTGTCGGTGCTGAAGCAGGCGTTTTATGGTTTCGAGACCATCACTTTCTATTTCAATCCGCACATGAGGAAGAAGTAACCTAAGCGCTAGTAACACTGAAGAAAAACACTAAAAACAAGTAACACGTGTTCAACTAGAAAAAACGAAAATACGAGGAAAGCCAAAAACAAGAAACATCAAAAGCTTGATCCGATCACTCTTTAAAAATGTCGCTATAAAGCGTTCTTAGGAGTCTCTGCTGTCGCTACAGTACGGCGACAGACAGACTTAGGCGCGCGGGCTTTCTTCTACTTATTCGATTGTTGCTGTTCGGAACGTGACCCTCTCCCTGAATGTATGCATCACCCAGATCCGGGATCAACGTAAACAACTAGGTTCTTTTTACACATCAGTATGATATTCCTGGATGATAACACTCTATCTCTAATTTCGAGCGAGCAAGACACTACTGGGATATTAGGAGCAGCTCTACTAGAAACGCGGCAGGGTGATGCCGCAACAACGATAACAGCAGGAGGTGAACGAGATCCCAGCTCGATAGTTGGAGGAAGTGGAGGTTCATCGTCCAGTAATCCTCTTGAGAATTATAGGCCGAAATACGAAGAAAGTCCAGCTATTTCCCTACCCATTGGCACATCAACGAACTTCGACGCGATCAAGGAGCAACAGCAGCGTCTCGAAGATATTAATTCTGACAGAGGTGCCCAAAGAACGGAGTTGGTGCTTCCAGATGCCGCAACGGAGTTGGTGCTTCCAAGAACTGGCGCTGATCATAGGTTGCTATCGAACCAGGATCATGTCGAGAATGGACAGGCACTTGAATCAACGAGAATAGAAGAAAAGGGCGGTCTGTCTCAGACACGTAACAACACAGTTTTAGGTGGCTCAGTTCTAGGCGGCACAACTACAGAGTTGCAGTCCGGCGGAGGTGGTGGGGCACTAGACGGCACAACTCTAGTTGGGTTGGGGGCACGAAATGCATCGGAGGCCACAGCTTTGTCCGGGACTGTATTGGGTGGCACACAGTTAGGCGGCACACAAATCGCTAGTACAACGGTAATAGTGGAACGTAGTGTGGAAGCAGTGGAACGTAGTGAGGAGGCGCCATCTGCTTTGCGACCTGCACCTGTGAACGAAAAGCAGAAATTAGAGGACCAAACTGCACTAGAGAACACCTTACTGTCTCCGCCAACTCCTGTAAATGGAATGAGTAGTACTACCCTACAGAACGCTACCCTACAGAACACTCAGCTTGTAGATGCAGAGGACCTGGCAGAGGACCTGGAAACGACTAGAGCTGTGGCCGTGGAGGTAGATACAACAGCGCAAGCTTTGACGATAACTTAAGGCTATACAATCACTGCCTGGGTTACCCTCAGTCAGGAGTCAAGGGCGCTTTGAAGGGAAGGAAAGGGAACCCGCTCGCCAATCAGGGATAGTGAGTGTCTAGCACTAAGCAACTTCTCCAGCAGGTCGAGACCTCTTAGATACCACGCCAACAGGTATAAGAACTTTGGAGCCCGCCTCCGCCATAGCAACTAGTTTCTCGCAGGCGCCAGCAGCAGGGAGAAATCCGATGCTCGATAGCGTAGCTTCTTTTAAGGCTTCTGTCCTAATCCATCTCGTGAAGCATCCTGTAATGATCCACGTTCAGAGAAGTCATCCTAGGAGAGACGTTTTGCAAGGGGAAAAAATTTGCACAGGATGTCATATGTCAGGATCGACCACTAGGGTGAGCTCGAATTCTCCTGCGCGTGGCTTCTTTGGGAACGTTTCTACTATACTAGCAGTGGATGCGACGGCATTGCCTGAGGACAATACCTCGGTTGATTTCGGCAGCCCGACTCTTCCAAATATCGATGATTAAGGCTACCACTCAAGAAGCATCCTCAGCGTCATACTAACTCTCAAGAAGCATCCTCAGCGTGATACTAACTTAGCCCTTTTATTTTCTACTCGACAATGGAGCCAATAGCCCTTTTATTTTCTACTCGACAATGGAGCCAAGTAGGATGATATCAGGGGATGAAGGTGCTATCGCGGTAGCTCTAAGCTGACACGCGAGTAGCGGCTATGGATGACTCACAAGCAGCTCTTGATGACACGCGAGCAGCAATCAACGTGGTTCCAGCTGATCTTACCGTAGACGGCACGCGCTTGGAAGCGACAGTTCTCGACGGAACAAGGATGGGAACTGCGTCATCGAATACTGTACTAATTGCCGTTTTGATAATTCCAAGACATTCGATGGTCAGTACACAGAAGATGATCATAAGTCATGATTTTAGTTGTAACAGATCATAAGTCGACATGACAGCACGACCGTTTTTGAATGTCTAAGTGCATCAATCCAAATCGCAATTTCATCTACCAGTAATCAACTTAAACAATACTATCGAAAACATGACTACAGGTCATCGAGGAGCCTAGCAAGGCAAGCGATAATACCAAAGTCGAAGGGACCATCATCAAACAAGACACTAAGGCAGAAGGATCAGAAGGCCTAACTCGAAAAATACCTGGTGAAGCATCAAGTGTCTCTCGGCGGACGTCGCTGATTGCAGCTAAGGAGGACGATTACACTTACAGCAGCGACGAATTTGAGTTCGAGGATGATGATAGTCCGATGTCACAAGCATCGCCTGCGAAAACAACCGAGGATAACAAGAAGGCTATCTTTCCAAGTAGAGCTGCTCCGGTTGCAGCTTCTGTTCCTACTGGTGCAGGTGAAAGAGCAGTGGGTGAAAAAGCAGTGACAGAGATACCAACAGCAACAGCACCAGCAGATTCGTCTACCGTTGGTGCCAAATTGCCTGACCCGCCAGCTCCAGCCAAAGCATCTGAACCAGTCCCAAAGCTTGCTGGCAAAACACAATTCTTAGAGGAAAATGACTCATCCTCGGGTGCAGAAATCGAAGTAGATGACTCCTCTGATGACGACCTAGGCGATTTACTCAGAAACATCAAGGATAGTCCGGTCTCTGCGCCAGAAGACAAGACCACAAATTACGGCTTATCATCGAATTGTAATTCATTTCATCTACAAAGCATTGTCATTTTTCAGTGTAGTATCTTAATACTCGATGAAATATTATTCAGAAACTGAAACTGAGGACTGACTTGAATTTTGAGCTCTAAACAATGCAGGCCAGTGCTGCTGCTTCTGCAGGGGCACAAGACTTAACAGACGGCAACGTAGATACGATGATAGCAGAGGAATTGTCAAAAGCGCAGATCGGAGAAGATATAAGCATGTGAAGAACAGTACTACACCTAGAAACTTAGACTTTTTAATTCCATTGAGAATGAAGATGCTGAGGACTAGCCAACAATCAAAATGTTTAGCTACTTAGAAAATATGTTGAAGTTTCTGCTTAATAGCGTGATAAAATTTTCCTAGAGTCGAGTGAGAAAACATCACAACTTGCCCCGAGTGAAGTGCACAAAGAGCCCGCATACTAATGTTTTCCCGTACGAACGATTCCAGGTAGAATTCGCGTCAGAGGCAACAGTGGATGCTTGTTAACGGGGGTGACCGCGACCGGCAGCATAGAATCGGCGTTGAATGTCATCACCGATTGAACGACGCTTACTTCAAAAAACGGCGTTGTTTTTCACGGCTCTTTAGCCGAGTCATGGGAATTCACTATGACTAACTGAAACTTTTTTCTTTTACCACAGCACTACGTACGTATTACGTTTCTAGTAAGGGGCTTTGCTAGAATTTACTACACTACTCATCTATTCTTCAATCACGGCTTCGAGATTTTACAAGCGATGAAAATCTTCGATGAATAATTCCTCTGATAACCAACGCAATGAGGTTTAGTTGGATATTGTTACTACTTACACGAAATATTGATACTGCTCATGTTGCCGAGAGCATACTCAACGACACATTCTGAAGCAAAATATGGACTTTCTATGAACAACGCCATTTGATTATCAACGCCATTATATGAACTGCGAGACAGTACCAAGAAGAAAGTAAGACGTCTAAAGAAACGCACAGTGAAACCAGAAAACCCACAGTTGTAAAACAAGAAAAACTTGTATGACAAGGCTTTTTGCTTTTTGGATATAATAAATAACGGAAAAAGAGGTTCCATGACATGACATTGTTATTCGTGTCCGACCTCATTAGTTACCTCATCAACACTGAGTTCTTCGTTTCCGACCTCATCAATATGACCTTTCGCAATCTCTACCTGCGGCAGCAGTACCAGCTGTCGCCGTCCAACGATCCGCCGATTCAGGCACGCCCTGTCCCCGAAAATCCAGTAGACGCAAGGCGAAAGCATGTGCTTTTGCCGCATCGATTGCCTGCGAATTAAGGCTAGTTGATCACTATCTAGCCATGTAATGTGGACTCTGGTGCTGAGTGGAGTTCCATCCTTTGACTTCTTAAAGAGATTCAGGGAAGTCGTAGGTCCAATCCGAACCGACTAACATCATCAAAGGAGAAACAAACTAAGAGGAAAAAGGGCTGCAACTCACTCAGCCAACGATAGTGGAAAATTATCTCTAAGCGAAGTTCTTTTTCTGCGACCTGGATCAGCATCAAGCTGCGGAGTTCTGCGCTAACGTATTGGCGGCATGGAAATTCGCAACGTTTACGCTGCCTTACATCCGTAAATTGGAGAAGCGTATCGATCAATTCGACCAATACGGCGATCTGGAAACGCTTTACCTTCGAACTCAAAGAATGCTCAAGGAATCGAGGGTACAGATTAACAACCCTTCTCTCGTCCAACCCAAGCCAACCGAAGTCATTTCACTTCTTCACTCGCAAGTACTTAATGGGCCATTTCACTTCTTCACTCGCAAATACTTCCTTTTCCAATCCAAACTTCTCAGTCAGGAATGAACGAAGAAGGCGAGAAACATGGCGACACGGCGACTCAACCACATCATGCTGGACTTGCTCGCGATCAACAATCACTTACATCTGGGTTACAATATTATAACTATATTCCTTATCCCTAAAGTTCAAGTTGGAATAATACTTGGCGAATACTTAGACTTAGCCCTACAACTTATGCCCCCTTAATATAGTGTCTTGAAGAAATTTAACCCCACTTATTTGCGCTCCGATGGGAGGCACTCATTTACTGGATGACCTCACAGGTAGACATGAACAGCTACAAACGAGGTTCCATGACATGACATGACTTATATTTCCTCGTGGTTATGTCTTGAAATACTTGCCAAATACTTGGCGAATACTTAGACTTAGGGCTACAACTTATGTCCCCTTAATATAGTGTCTTGAAGAAATTTAACCCCACTTATTTGCGCTCCGATGGGAGGTACTCATTTACTGGATGACCTCACAGGTAGACATGAACAGCTACAAACGAGGTTCCATGACATGACATGACTTATATTTCCTCGTGGTTATGTCTTGAAATACTTGCCAAATACTTGGCGAATACTTAGACTTAGGGCTACAACTTATGTCCCCTTAATATAGTGTCTTGAAGAAATTTAACCCCACTTATTTGCGCTCCGATGGGAGGTACTCATTTACTGGATGACCTCACAGGTAGACATGAACAGCTACAAACGAGGTTCCATGACATGACATGACTTATATTTCCTCGTGGTTATGTCTTGAAATACTTGCCAAATACTTGGCGAATACTTAGACTTAGGGCTACAACTTATGTCCCCTTAATATAGTGTCTTGAAGAAATTTAACCCCACTTATTTGCGCTCCGATGGGAGGTACTCATTTACTGGATGACCTCACAGGTAGACATGAACAGCTACAAACGAGGTTCCATGACATGACATGACTTATATTTCCTCGTGGTTATGTCTTGAAATACTTGCCAAATACTTGGCGAATACTTAGACTTAGGGCTACAACTTATGTCCCCTTAATAATAGCAATTAGAGACGCAAGGCGAGCGCATGAAGGCTGCTTAGCGACTTGTCTTTCTTCCCCCTCCATTGCTGGAATGTGATTGGGAATGCCATATGGATGTATGGGTGTTGACTTCGCTCATGGGAGTTGACTCTACGGTGATCAAGCTGCCATTTTGTCTCTACGGTGATCAAGAATGGTCATAACAGGGACATACACAAAAAAAAAACTACAGGGCCACTGCCTGGAATTGCAATTAGAGACGCAAGGCGAGCGCATGAGTTCCGACATTCTACTGTCACGGTGTCGTGCTACCCGTCTTGCGCTACGTTTCCAAATCGCGCAGATGCGCAAATATAGACTGCGATTCTGGGCACTTGACTCCTTACATAAGCGCTATCGGGAACACAGCGAAAACGCAAAAAGACACCTGGCGCAGAAATTTGCAGCACGGTTTCAAGAGCTAGAGGCTTGGCGAGATGAGGCGCTAAAACGAGACGCGTTTGGCAACGTTTTCATGCTGGAGATTATGACTGGTGTTTAGCTTAGAGATTATGACTCGTGTTTATGTTGGATATTGTGACTCTTCACTATATCGCGACATAGATGGATCATATACCCATTCGGGACGCTCTGGAACGGAATGGAGCGACAAATGGAGCAACCTTTAGGTGTACCTTTTATCCCTTCATACCTGCTTTTCGCGGTATGCGTCACAAATACGAGCTAGCCCGAGCCCGAGGCAACAAGCAGACGGAGATGCTGCTTGAGTTAGGGCTACCGCTACAGCATCCCCAGCATCGTCCCTGGCTCTTTTGTTTTTCTACTTGAAAAAAAAGCCAAGCACTCAAGGACTACGCTCTCAGGGATGATGGGAACGCGGTAGCCCTAATCGAGAGCGAAAAGAAAATTGCCAATCTGACTCGCGAATTGGAGAAATTGACCAAAGATCGTGACGGACTAATCCAGGTTCGAGACGCCCTGCTTGCAGACAAAAACCAACTACATTATGAAAAGTGTCTGGGTGAAAAATATTGTTGTTGCTTTCAATGGAAAAGACGTGGATGTACTAGTCAGAAGTACTTGTTCTGAAATTCATAGTAGAAGGACTTTCTTGATGTTCAGAGAGATTGATTGATCCGCAAACGTATTGTGTTTCATGAAGTCAGAATGGTCTTCATCGTCTCGAAATTTCGATTCCCAAAACTTCGCTGTTCTAAGGACCAACCGAGGCCGTTCCGATGCTGCAGGAAGAAACCCTCATTTGGCGTGGCAGGTTGTACCAGACGAGACAAGTGCTCCAATTAGCCGTTCTAATGAACTGGTATAAGTTAAGCCTTTCGGAATTGCATTCCCCACGAGCATCCCTGGCTTTTTGTTTCTAGAAGAGAATGAGAAGGGAAGGAAGATGTTCTGAGGAATGGACTGCCGTAACCTCTAAATAAGCTGGTCGCTATGCATGAGAAGGACCGTACGATTGCATGGCAGCAGACGTTCATCGCGGAACTCGAAGTGCTAAAAGTAAAGTATGCGGAAGAACAGCGGATATGCCAGGAATTGAGAGCGGAACTCGAAATCAAAGAGGAGAAACTGGAACAGATTTATGCTGCACGCATTCTGGAGTTCACGTAGTCCGATAAAGTAAGTAACCGAGTTACTGACTGAAGTAAGGGGCGTAGCTTAACATCAAGACTACTCTTCTTTCTCATCAGTATCTCGGTTATTCTCGTCTGTTACTCGCTTATTTCAGTTTTTCAAGTAATTTGTTTACACTTATAATTTCGCACACTCAGGAGTTCTATTCGATCCAGGAGTTCATCTAGTTGGACCGTTGAAGTATAGTACCTAGTCGGACCGTTAAAGTAAATATATGAGACTTAAATGTTGTATTAGGTGTCCCGGTACTCAAATGCCTGAACATTTACACTACTACGATTAAGATGACGCAAGAATTGTTGAAGTTTTCGCATCTAACAATTGGCAGCTTTAGAAGCGGAGCGTGACGAAATGGCAAAAGAGCTTAAAACGCTTCGTAGACACAACAAGGAGTTAAAGGTCACGTTAGAAAGTCGCGTTATTACGGCCACCGCTAAAAAAGCATCCAAGAGAGCGTCCTCCTGCATCGTGATCCTTCTCTCTTTTTCTATTTAGTTGAAAAAGAAGCCTTTCTGAGGAAATATGTGTTTACGACATTACCCAAGGGAGAAGGTGAAGGAGATGCAAACGCGGTAGCTCTAACGTTACCAAACCTGTTCTCCCTGCACGCTTTTTGTGTATGCGCTGCAGCAACGAAGTGTCTCAGCGATCCTCGACAGACCACGAGGGATCCTCTTCGCGAACAACGTCTCTAGTAAGGGAGACGCCGTCAACGTCTCTAGTGCATTCTGCCAGTTTCAACAAGGTCTCTACTGGCCAACTGGTTGCACCAGATCCTTTGTTCGTGCCGGGATCTGGCATTCTGCCCACTGGAGGAAGCAAGGCGTCGCGTGCGGCGCAGTTGACCGAGGCACCGAACGCAGACACCGCGCGGGACCTCTTGAGAGGAACGAACTTTTTACCACGCGTAGTGCTGCAACCCGGAACATCTGCGAGAACTACGCGGAAACGTACTGACAAAGATGATTTCGATCGCATATTTTTCAAGGATCCTGCTGGGTAAGCGAAGCGTGAGGGGGGATCATTTGCAGGCGTCTGGCGTCACATATCAACTTCAAAGATGAACTCAAGGCCAATCAATAGTCCTTCGGTTCAAGATTCAAACAACGTCGCAGCTCATCCTCACGCAACTTCGTGTTCGTTTGTCTATCGGAACGTCATAGAACGTCGCATCTTCGTCGACACCACAGACAACGTCGCAGCAACGTCTTCGGAGACGCAATGGAACTAGGATGAGGACAGTACTGCGCCTTACTCGCGTCGTCGTCGCGCATCGTTGCTCTCGCAGGTGATGGTTTCGTGATCGCCTACCTAAATCGCTTTCGTTATAACTGAAAGACTCCGCGTCCATCTTCCCGTTGCTCGCGCTTGCTCATCCTCACGCAACTTCGTGTTCGTTTGTCTATCGGAACGTCACAGAACGTCGCATCTTCGTCGACACCGACAGCCGAGTGCGATAGATCGACCCGTTGTACTTCAGTACATTATAATGAGAACGTATCTTCGTCGACACCGACAGCCGAGTGCGATAGATCGACCCGTTGTACAACTTCAGTACATTATAATGAGAACGCATCTTCGTCGACACCGACAGCCGAGTGCGATAGATCGACCCGTTGTACTTGAGTACATTATGATGAGAACGCGACTCTTCGTACGGCCAGATCATCTCAATGAGGATATAAACACTGTCACAGAACAGCAATCGAGCATATAAAGTTAGAAACCTTGCATGTAAGTATTGTCACAAGCGATAGCAATACTGCATCATCTGCGGAGTTAACGTTAACGCCACATCTGCCTGCCAAGTGGTAATAATTAATTGAGCTACTAACTTTGCCAAGAATATGCTGCCGCTGCGTCAACATCTTCATTTCGATCTGTCTTATCATGGTGGGGAAGCGAATGATCT